TGGCTCACCTCGCTCTTTAAACCCAGAGTACTCGACAGCATCAACAGCGAGGTCTGTCTGGGTCATCCAACCCGGATCTCACTGGGGTGGAGGGGGATGGGGGAGTGTGGGGGGTGACGGTTGGGCAAACAGTTCACAAAAACAACACTCTCAAAGGCACCTTCATATTATAGCCTACCGACTGTTGGGGCAAGTGCTGTTAGCGATCACCTATGAAGGCCAGAACGACACATGGGGGTGGGTGGCTTTCGGCTCCCTAGTGGGAATCGAACTCGGGTAGCCAGGTTCGTAGCGCAGTGCACTCCACACCCGTCCGCCTACACCCACTCATTGCCCCACACATCCACCAATTATCCCAGCTCACACCACCCACCCGCACTCCTAACTCACTCCCACAACTCACAGCTCTTGCTATGCCCATGCCTGACCATCATTGTGTGGAAGTGTGCGCAGTGTTCGCCTCTGTGTTTGGCCGAGCTGAAGCCGTCTCATGCTGCACGCGCAGGGCGTTCACCTGAGCGTCTGCACTGTCGCCCGCTCTCACGGAGTATGGACCCGAGACAGCTCGGAGGAGCCACTGCTGGGATTGCTCCCGGCGAGAGATCCGTGCACCCGGATGTGCGTGGTGACACAAGGGATGATTCCGTCTCTCCAGGGCCAGCCCTGCGCTGCCGCGTGAACCCAGGCCCAGCGGGGCTGTGGTGGATGGAGTGTGGGCAGATGTGGGAGCGGTGGCGTAGTGGTTAGGGCACTGTGCTATGAGCCTGGCGACTGGAGTTCGATTCCCGTTCACGGCCACCAACACCTGTGACGATTATCCGAGCAGGTCCTGGACTTCCCCTAGGTCGACTCAACCGCAAATTAGTACCTGGTGCGATACGTAAACATCGCCACGAGGGGAGACAAGCGGCCGGGCGCGTGCTTGCCACCCACCTCCTCGCTGGCTATCTCATAGGTGCTCGCTAGCTGCACTTGCCCCAAAAGTCTGTGAAGACTATACGGTGCATCTTTGTATTTGTGGGCAGATGTACCGCCGTCAGCTTTAATCTCAGGGCTCAATCGTACCCGGCCTGCAGCAGCAAACACCCCCTTGAACAGTGGCACCTGCAACCACAAACTGAAGACCGGTGCGTGTGGCTCAGTCGTATCAGGTGACGCGGTGCCGGTGTGGGGGCCGGCGTGCCCCCCACCGCCCTCGGCGGGCAGGTGAGGGGGCAACGTCCGCCCCCTCCACCTCCACCGTACCCTCTCTGAGAGACATCGCTAAATTGCTCGCTCACCGCCGCACGGGGTTCCTCCACTCACGCCCGCGTGCACCACCACTCGTGCTCACGCGGCAGTGCGAACGCGCGCGCGCCCCTGCAGGCGACTACATCCTAACACGCGCTCGTGATGCGGCTCTGCCCTCACTCTGGCCGCGCGTCCCCCCACGCAGTCGCCCCGCACACAAATCACAGACACCGCACCGAGGCTCTGTGCTAACGTTTATTCACGGTGCAAACCTTGCACACTGCCCGGAGGGAATATTCTGCGAGCAGAGCTTAGCCTACTGCTACCCAAGTCCCCAAACACTCGCACGCCCTGTCACGTACCTCGCAGCTGTACTTACGGGGTCACACGGACACTGTGAGAGTCGGAAGAATGACGAAAACACCTCGCCTATCACTGCCTCGTAGCAGCACTCGCTGGCATCACACGGATGTCGCGAGCGGCTCGAGGAGGCAGGACGGCAACCGGTGTATATGCTCACTGGTCGTGGCTGGCCCAGCCCTTGGCCACGACCACTTTCTCGAATCCTCTAGCTGACAGCAGTCCCCAACCTTTTTGGCACCAGGGACCGGTTCCGTGGAAGACAATTTTTTCACGGACCGGGGGGGGGAGTTCATCATTGGGTCCAGCGACGTTTGTTTTTTACTCATTGTGGCTACTAGGGGGTTAGCTTGTGGGCTTACCAACACTGTGACTGAGACAAGTGCACAGTGCGGAAAAGAGGCGCGGACTCACCGCTGTCACCTCCTGCTGCTGTGCGGCCCGGTCCCTAACAGGCCACGGAGCGGTCCCCCTGCTCTAGCAGGATCTCACCCCGACACGTGACCACCCCCAGCCCCCACTTGGTGGCCCTGTGTCGACCTTACCCGTCACGTGCCTTCCAGGGTCAACCAGAGTGCCGTCCCTGGGGTAACCCCATTCCATGGCTGACACTCTCACACCCCATCCTGTAGGGGTCGGCACTGCACGCCACGCGTGGTGCCACTCAGCGCCATGACCCAAGCGCTCACCGAGCCCCCTCTAGGGCTGTACGGGGTGTCCGTGATGTCAATACAGCGCACGCCGTGCCTCGCTAGAGCCGGCATTACCCCACAGTGACTTTCACGATGTCACTACATATGTAATATACATTGTGCGTGTACTATAATCGTTGCCACGCAGCGGGTCACCCCCTGCAGCCGCTAGAATCCGCTACATTCACCGTCACGTTGACGAAATCGAATCTTAAATTAATCACGGCCCTGAATCACGACAATTAATCGAATCGATCGGAAGCGTAATCGTTTCACCCCTTCGTCACGATCCATATTCACTGCTGAATGAAAGCCTTTGAAGTTGCCATCATCTCAAGATTTCTGCGATGCAGCAGTTCAGCTGATACCTGCACGCGAGATGATTTCGTCGCTCCGTCTCTACGGTAGACGTCCTTTTGGTCGCGTTCCCTAACTCTGGGCTGCCACTCCACCATTCATCTCGACCACCGTCTGTGTCCTGCCCAACCGCACTTGCACATGATGACTCTCACTTGCGTCTGTCCTCTCCTCCGTATGTCCCTGTGTCTCGCTGCTATTCCCAGCTTGTGTCTCTCCCTGATTTTGCGCCCGAGTCAGTTTTTGCTCCACGTGACCTTTCAGGGTCCCTGTTTTCTGACCCGTGTCATTACGGCGTGGTGGTTATGGTGGATCACGTAAATGTCGTCTAACTCCTTTCCCCTGGGAGTGGAGGAGGTACTTACACCCTGGCTCGCTAAGCAGGAGGCAATACATCAAGTGGAAGAATCGCCATCTGTTTCCATCTGTTCGGGGATACAACGTTGCCCCCTCGTGCGCGTGGGTTTTCTCCGGGTGCTCTGGCTTCCTCCCACCCACGTGTATTATAACAGTTATCACTGGCTGACAACATTTTAGGACCCTCTTGGAGAAGAGTCCTACGACTCAGTGTGGCTGTCCTGGACAAATAAGTAAAGTGGTTGCTTTTCCTCAAAGGATGTGGAATCTGCTCTCGTTCGCCTCTTTGTTTCATCATTTGTAACCCTCTCCACCTTCTTCACCTGCCACAGGTAACACTTTGCTGCTGCTGTCGTGTTGCCAGTGTGTGATGATGGCACACACGTGCGTGCGTGTTGACGTCACGCGCGTGTGTGCGTGATGACGTCGGGCAGATGTTTGTGGGGACGTTGAACAGGTGTGGTGACGTCACGCGTATTTGTGCGTGGTGACGTCACGCAGGTGAGATCCTCGAGCGGGGCGGGCAGGTTAAGGGGCGGGGCTGCTCCCCCCCCCCCCCTCAACCAGCGTAGGTGCAGAGGAGAGGGGCGGTGACGCCTCGAGTGAGAGCAGCGCAAAGTCTCCTCCCTGCCTCCCTCCCTGCCTGCCTGCCTGCTCCGTCTTCCCCCACGGGCCCCGAGTCCACGGCCCGGTCTCCACTGGCCCCGTGGCTCGCACGAGAGCCCCGTGGCTGCGATTCCCCCCCGCCGCTTTCAGCTGAACGCCCGGGGGGTGGCGGTGAGAGGCGCCGCGCAGAGCTCAGCCTCGCGTGGAGAGGAGGAGGAGGAGGTTTGGGGGAGGAGAAGGTTTGAGGAGGGGGGGGGCTCTGGGGGTCTAGACGGGGTGGGGGGCGCCACGAGTCAGGGCAGTGCCACGGTGGCGAGGGTGGCCGAGGGGGTGAGCGGGCTGGTCGGTGAGTGAGCCTGACATCTATGGGCACAGAGTGTGGTGAGTGTGCACAGCGGGTGGATGAGGCGAGGGTGATTCGGCGGTGAATAGGGTGAGATTGAGGTGAGATTGAGGTGAGTGTCAGGAGGTGGTGAGTAGTGGGCGAGTGTGGATGAAGGTGGTGAATTTGAGGTGAGGACGAGGAGAGTGATTATGGGTTGAGTGTGGTGAGTAGAGCGTAGGTCTGGGTGAGTGTGAGTAGGGGGTTAATTTATTAGGGGTGAGTTTGGACTAACCTAGGTTATAAGAGTTTAGCGTTTCTAAATGTACTTACTAGGTGGTGAAGCTGAGGTGTGAGTAGGGGGTGAGTATTGGTGAGGGGTGAATAGTGGTGAGGGGTAAATAGTGGTGAGGGTGAGTAGGGGTGAGTAGTGGTGAGGTTGAGGGGTGAGAAGTGGTGAGGGTAAGTAGGGGTGAGGGTGAGTAGTGGTGAGGTTGAGGGGTGAATAGTGGTGAGGGTGAGTAGTGGTAAGGGTGAGTAGGGGTGAGTAGTGGTGAGGGTGAGTAGGGGTGAGTAGTGGTGAGGGTGAGTAGGGGTGAGTCGTGGTGAGGGTGAGTAGGGGTGAGTCGTGGTGAGGGTGAGTAGGGTGAGTAGTGGTGAGGGTGAGTAGGGGTGAGTAGTGGTGAGGGTGAGTAGGGGTGAGTAGTGGTGAGGGTGAGTAGGGGTGAGTAGTGGTGAGGGTGAGTAGGGGTGATTAGGGGGTGAGGGTGAGTAGTGGTGAGTAGTGGTGAGGGTGAGTAGGGGTGAGTCGTGGTGAGGGTGAGTAGGGGTGAGTAGGGGTGAGGGTGAGTAGAGGTGAGTAGTGGTGAAGGTGAGTAGGGGTGAGGGTGAGTAAGGGTGAGCAGTGGTGAGGGTGAGTAGGGGTGAGCAGTGGTGAGGGTGAGTAGGGGTGAGGGTGAGTCGGGGTGAGGGTGAGTAGTGGTGAGGGTGAGTAGTGGTGAGGGTGAGTAGGGGTGAGTAGGGGTGAGTAGTGGTGAGAGTGAGTAGGGGTGAGTAGGGGTGAGTAGTGGTGAGAGTGAGTAGGGGTGAGTAGGGGTGAGGGTGAGTAGGGGTGAGTAGGGGTGAGTAGTGGTGAGGGTGAGTAGGGGTGAGGACGCAGCCCATGGCGGTGACTCTGGTGGCGCTGTTCGGCGCCACTGCCGGAGTGGGTGGCGAGGCGCGGGGCTCGGACGAGGCGGACGCGGCGCTCGTGGCGTGGCGCTGCGTGCGGCCACAGTGCGGACAGGTGAGGCCCCACAACACGTGTGTGTGTGTGTGCGTGTCAACACGTGTGTGTGTGTGTGCGTGTCAACACGTGTGTGTGCGTGTCAACACGTGTGTGTGTGTGCGTGTCAACACGTGTGTGTGTGTGCGTGTCAACACGTGTGTGTGCGTGTCAACACGTGTGTGTGCGTGTCAACACGTGTGTGTGCGTGTCAACACGTGTGTGTGCGTGTCAACACGTGTGTGTGTGTGCGCGTGTCAACACGTGTGTGTGTGTGTGCGTGTCAACACGTGTGTGTGCGTGTCAACACGTGTGTGTGCGTGTCAACACGTGTGTGTGCGTGTGTGTCAACACGTGTGTGTGTGTGTCAACACGTGTGTGTGTGTGTGCGTGTCAACACGTGTGTGTGCGTGTCAACACGTGTGTGTGCGTGTCAACACGTGTGTGTGTGTGTGCGCGTGTCAACACGTGTGTGTGTGTGCGTGTCAACACGTGTGTGTGCGTGTCAACACGTGTGTGTGCGTGTCAACACGTGTGTGCGTGTCAACACGTGTGTGTGTGTGCGCGTGTCAACACGTGTGTGTGTGTGTGTGTCAACACGTGTGTGTGCGTGTCAACACGTGTGTGTGCGTGTCAACACGTGTGTGTGCGTGTCAACACGTGTGTGCGCGTGTCAACACGTGTGTGTGTGTGTGCGTGTCAACACGTGTGTGTGCGTGTCAACACGTGTGTGTGCGTGTCAACACGTGTGTGTGTATGTGTGTCAACACGTGTGTGTGTGTGTCAACACGTGTGTGTGTGTGTGCGTGTCAACACGTGTGTGTGCGTGTCAACACGTGTGTGTGCGTGTCAACACGTGTGTGTGTGTGCGCGTGTCAACACGTGTGTGTGTGTGCGTGTCAACACGTGTGTGTGCGTGTCAACACGTGTGTGTGCGTGTCAACACGTGTGTGCGTGTCAACACGTGTGTGTGTGTGCGCGTGTCAACACGTGTGTGTGTGTGTGTGTCAACACGTGTGCGCGCGTGTCAACACGTGTGCACGCGTGTCAACACGTGTGCGCGCGTGTCAACACGTGTGCGCGCGTGTCAACACGTGTGTGTGTGTCAACACGTGTATGTGTCAACACGTGTGTTTGCGCGTGTCAACACATGTGTGTCAACACGTGTGTTTGCGCGTGTCAACACGTGTGTGTGCGCGTATGTGTGTCAACACGTGTGTGTGTGTATGTGTGTCAACACGTGTGTTTGCGCGTGTCAACACGTGTGTGTGTGTCAACACGTGTGTGTGTGTGTGTCAACACGTGTGTGTGTGTGTCAATACGTGTGTGTGCGCATGTCAACACGTGTGTGTGTGCGCGTGTCAACACGTGTGTGTGTGCGCGTGTCAACACGTGTTTGTGCGCGTGTCAACACATGTGTGTGTATGTGTGTCAACACGTGTGTGTGTGTCAACACGTGTGTGTGCGCGTGTCAACACGTGTGTGTGTGCGCGTGTCAACACGTGTGTGTGTGCGCGTGTCAACACGTGTGTGTGCGCGTGTCAATACGTGTGTGTGTATGTGTGTCAACACGTGTGTGTGTGTCAACACGTGTGTGTGTGTATGTGTGTCAACACGTGTGTTTGCGCGTGTCAACACGTGTGTGTATGTGTCAACACGTGTGTTTGCGCGTGTCAACACGTGTGTGTGCGCGTATGTGTGTCAACACGTGTGTGTGCGCGTGTCAACACGTGTGTGTGCGCGTGTCAACACGTGTGTGTGCGCGTGTCAACACGTGTGGGCGCGTGTCAACACGTGTGGGCGCGTGTCAACACGTGTGTGTGCGCGTATGTGTGTCAACACGTGTGTGTGTATATGTGTGTCAACACGTGTGTGTGTGTATGTGTATCAACACGTGTGTTTGCGTTTTTCAACACGTGTGTGTGTCAACACAAGTGTGTGTGTGTTAGTGTCAGCACGTGTGTGTGCGCATGTGTCAACACGTGTGTGTCAACACGTGTGTGTCAGTGTCAACACGTGTGTCAACGCGTGTGTCAACACGTGTGTGTCAACACGTGTGTGTCAACACGTGTGTGTCAACACGTGTGCCAACACGTGTGTGTGTGTGTGTGTCAACACGTGTGTATGTGTGTCAACACGTGTGTGTGCGCGTGTCAACACGTGTGTGCGCGTGTCAACACGTGTGTGCACGTGTCAACACGTGTGTGTGCGCGTATGTGTGTCAGCGCATGTGTTTGCGCGTGTCAACACCTGTGTGTGTCAACACGTGTGTGTGTGTCAGTGTCAACACAAGTGTGTGTGTGTGTTAGTGTCAAGACAAGTGTGTGTGTGTTAGTGTCAGCACGTGTGTGCGCATGTGTCAACACGTGTGTGTCAACACGTGTGTGTCAGTGTCAACACGTGTGTGTGTGTGTGTCAACACGTATGTGTGTGTGTGTCAACACGTGTGTGTGTGTCAACACGTGTGTGTGTGTGTGTCAACACGTGTGTGTGTGTCAACACGTGTGTGTGTGTCTGTGTGTGTCAACACGTGGAGGTGCGGTCGTATCGCGGTTAGCGCGCTGCGTTATGAACGCGGCGACCCGGGTTCGATTCCCGCTCACGGCCAACAGTGACGATTATCTGAACCGGTTCTGGGCCTCCTTCTAGGTCGACTCAGCCTCAAATGAGTACCTGGTGCGGTGTGTAGTAAACATCGCCACTGGGGAGACAAAGGCGGTTGGGCGTGGTGCTGGCCACCCCCCCCCCCCCTCGTGTACCGTTCCGGCCTTCATAGGTGCTCGCTAACAGCACTTGCCCCAAATCTGTTAAGGCTCTTCGGGGGGGTCTTTGTCAACACGTGGGGAGCGGTAGTGTCGCGGCTATCGCGCTGTACTACGAACCCAGCGACCCGAATTCGATTCAAATATTCATCGCCGATCAACGCCGAGGACGAAAATTTGGAGCCGCATTCCTCTTAGTCGTGACGCGGCCTCTCACGGCCCGGCTCAGCTCCATGGAAACTCTGAGCGTGGCTGCGACCACCACGCTCAGAGCTGGCTCAAGTTGAGCACAGTTTTGAGCCATGGGCTCACTTGACCCAGAGTCGAGCCGTGACTTCAGATTAGGGCCCGAAGAGTGATGTGATTGTTGGGGTGAGCGTGAGTGTTTGGGTGAGAGTTTGGGTGAGTGTTGGAGTGAGCGTGAGCGTTGGAGTGAGCGTGAGTGTTCACTGTTGTGAAGAGGGCCCGTCTTTGTATGCGTGCGTGCGTGCATGACGGTTACACAGGGCAGTAAGCAAGTGGTGTAATCGCCGTTTGTTTCTATCAGTACGGGGATAGAGGCTGTTGATCCCCCACCCCTCTGGTATAAACACTCATCATTAATTGAAGCTGACAATAACTTGACAAAATCAAATAAAATCCCAATGCAAGACGCCCATTAAAAGGGCAGTCGTCCGACTCACTGTGGCTCTCCTGGATAAGGAAGGAAAGTTATTTTAAGTGTGCGATGTGATCAGTGAGAGCACTGCTGTGATGCTTATGATCAACCCCTAGCGCTCCACCATAGCCCTGCTTGCTTGGCATCGTCACTGTTTAAACGCAGCCCGGTGTACGCAGTATACTGCGACGTGCAGCAAGTGCCTTTATCGCATGATCTCAATGTTTAGCTGTAGGCCATACTACAATGTCAATATTGGAAATACGCTCACAATGAGATTGCACGTTGGGTTGGAGAAATATAATTCTTGTGTATAGTGAACATGAAGATGCAGTGGCTCGTGTCATGTCTTTGATTAATTTCCATGAACATTGACGGGCAGCCTTGGATCCGAGCGAATCCTCGCATCACCTAAACTCCACACGATGGAGAAACCAATACAGGTGGAAGAAGTCTGCGACGAAATCTTTTGGCCAAAATTATTTAAGAGCTTAGGATCCATGACAGTGAGACGTTTGTGTGCAGGTCATCGATCTTCGTTTCAGATATTATTCAGAATTTCGGTGGAGGTGACTTAAATAGGCAGCACATTCTCTCTTCTGTGAGGGCCATTAGCAAAGTAGACTCATGGCCGACTAAGTAATGGACTCGCCCAGCCACGGAGAGACTCGTCTGACACACAGCGACAACCACGTGTACCTGTTGGCCTCGCTTCTCTCTTTCACGTGGGGTGGCAGGGTGGTGGTGCAGCGGTTACGCTCGCACCTCGTGGAAAGAGGGGCCTGGATTCGATTTCCAACTCGGCTGCCTTTCTGTGTGGAGTTTGTATTCCCTCTCTCTGTTCTGCGTGTGGTTTCCTGTAGTTTCTCCAGTTTCCTCCCATACCTAACTTTTTTTACCTGATGTTGACCAAAAATCCCAAAGCTGAAAATGATCCGCATATTACTCATTTGGGATAACACAAAGCAGCAGCAACATCGCCCCCTACTGCTGAAAACTTGGCGGGTGCAAATCCTGGCTTTGTGGTTGACCAAGTTCACCATCCCTCTGAGCTTCATAAATGAGTAACGCTGTTGTGGAAACCAACAATGGATGCCTAGTGAATGGACTGCTCCCTACCACAGGAATGTGGAGTTTCCACCCCTGCAAATGCTCATGTGTGCAAGAAGGTGCTTTACTCATTTGACTTGTGGGGGAGCAATGGATCTATGTTGCTAAAAGCATTCTTACACCACTTCTCTGAAGCCCCTTCTGTCACGCCAGAAGGTGCCCACGTGTTTTTTGTTTGTCCCTGTGTCCAGGCCCGGTGTGGTGCCACACTGGCCTTCATCGGTGCTACTCGCTAACAGCAGTTGCTCCTACAGTCTGTTCAGGCTATACGGAGGAACATTGACTTTGGTGTTCCCACGCGTGTGTTGGTGTGTTGCAGGTCAATGAGATTCACGTTGAGTGTGTCACGCGTGTGTCACGCGTGTGTCCGTGTGCGTGTCGCAGGTGGGTGAGGTCCACCGCCTGCTCGTGCGCCCCTCCGACGTGGAGCTGGGCGAGGAGTGCCGCGAGGAGACCGGACTCTCCCCGCGCGACCTTGAACGCGCCCCCCTCTTCGGCGACGTCATACAGCAGGTGCAAGCCCTCGGCAGCGCCCCCCCCAGCCCTCTTCTTATTCTTCCCTTTCGCAGCTCAGGCTGCTTCAAGTACTTGCTTATTGATCGTGAGCCACTGCGTTTTACTTCATTGGTAGGATGTTGTCTTCCATTTCCCAAATACTCTGTGGTGAAACGCCTGAGATCCGTCCTGATGTTGTTATCATCACGCTTGTTTACCTGGGAAAGCTTCACTGAGTCTTAAGACTCCTTTTCAGGAGAGTCCTGTCAATTGTTTGCAGTATTTTGCTGCTGTGTTCTCCCAATTGAGTAATTTACAGGTAATATTTCAGCATTGGGATGTTGTTTTGTCAATACCAGTTGCATTATGCGGTTGTTTTAGCTATGGGAGAAAATCGGAGAACCTGGAGAAACCCCAAACAATGAGAGCAAGGGGAGAACATGCAAACAGCACAGAGAGACGCCCGAGTGTGGAATGGATCCCACGTACTTTTTTTCTGCGAGGCACGTTGTGACCACTAGAGTGTCTCCCCTAGTTCTAGTACCCACTGCAAAAAGCCCCTGCAGTGGTGTGCTGTGAGTTTCTTGGCCTCTGTCCACTCAAAAATCCTGAAGTTGTGCTCTCCGCCGGTGGTGTTGGCTCTGAGGGCCTGCTGCAGGCTGTGGTCTCGACGTCTCCAGAAGATGCGCGTCGTGCTAGAGTCCAGGTAGCCTCCAGAGCAGTGTGCTGTGAGGTTGTGCCTCTATCAATGTGCCACTTATGTGCTATGAAGAAGGGCCGTTGCCTGAAACGTTGCCTATTATTATGTATCTTAGTTTATTTTAAGGCCACAGTGTTATTGACAAATTTGTTGTTTTTTTATGTATCAGGAGTGTTTTTTTTAATGAAATCTCATTCCACAAGCACAATTACACACAATTGATGATATTAAAAAGTGCGTACAATCTAAATGTCACACTGCTACGTGTGCAGTTGAAATTGTAAATTGTTGAGGCATGTGTCTGCCAGTGCTTCTGTGCTGGTGTGCATGTTTGCGTGTTTGAATGGGGAGCGGTGGCGCGGTCGTTCGCGCACTGCTACGAACCCAGCGGCCCGACTTAAATTCCCGCTCATGACCAATAACAGTGGCAACGAATATGTCCACAGGTCCTGGGCCTCCCCTCGGTCGACTCAGCCTTATATGAGTACCTGGTGCGGTGGGTAAACATCACCGCGAGGGTGTGGTGTTGCCTGGCCCACCCGCCCCCTCGTGTGCTGTGCCAGCCTTCAAAGGTGCTTGCTAACTGCACATTCCCCAACAACCTGTTGAAGGCTATAGGGGGGATCTTTGTCTTTGTTTGCTTGTGAAGCCAGGTGCATGGGAGCAGCTGCGTGGTTGTGGTGGTTGTGCTGCTGCTGCGATGTTGTGTTGTTGGCTCATGGTGACAATCGCAGGGGCCACCCGCTCCCCTGGAGGATGTAAACGACCCCTGTAGCTCCGTCTCATGTTGACATTGCCTCTCACCAGCAAAAGTATGGTACATTCACACAGAAAATCTAAAGAAACGAGCCTATTTTACAAAATATTTCATCTGTATCCGCGGAGTAAATCTGTTGGCCAAATACACGGTTACATCATCACATGGGTTTCATCCAGGTTCTCTAGTTTTTCCCATAGCTAAAAAATATACTACCGTGTAAAACACACAGAGCCATGCGAGCGCCGCATGGAATAGGCGTGTAACACGATGCCTGCACTCAAGCAGAATGTCTCGGATCCTGTGGCTGGGTGTGGACACTTTCTTTTTAAAAGCAAATCCCCCTTATCATGCCTGTTCTTGGCAGATCCCAGAAGCTAAGCAGTAGGTTAGCCTGGTCCGTTCGTTTATAGGAGACTGCCTGAGAATACCAGGCATTGTCGGCTTGAGCTGTGCAGGAGCCAGGAGATGACGGTCTAATCTGAGTGGAGCTTGGAGCATGGCCGTCGCTTGGGCGGTACTGGCGTAGCCCGGCACCACCAAGTGTCCCTTTGGCCCAACTCAGGTGGTGGTGGCCCCCACACAACGGCTTCACAGGGCCCCTATGCGAGAGGAACCTTGGTACCTGCTCATATATGGGTTCTCTCCAGCTTCTCTGTTTAATTCTCACCGGAATCCAATGCCTAATTTAATGGAATTGGCCAAACATCTCAAAAACTGAACCCTCCTGAAGAAGTCTTGGGAGTCGGCGCGGTTCTCGTGGGGAAGTAATTGGTGTTATTGGTGTTGTTGTTGTTAGAATTCGCACTGGGGAGCCCATGGCCATCGGGCGTCCGCTTTGCCGCTTCTCGCGTCCCTTGAGCCACCAGCACTCGGCTCAACACCCTTGAAGGCTACTTGTGCGGCGATTCGCGCCCTCGCGTTTCAACTGAACGTCACGACCCATGGTCACAATATAATTCATGAATGTAGCAGCCGCTAGTGGCTGGAGGGTTCGTGCGATCCCAGTTCACGTAACAGAGTACACATTTAAAAAGGTGACTTTCTCGCATGCAATTGGATGCACCGATCTTCAAGGGCGATAAAAATGTTAATTGATGGATTCATGCATTTCAGCACCACTTTCCTCAGCATTCGAGCGAGAATGTTTGCGAGTGGCGTTGTCTTTGTGGGTTCCGCGTTTACGAGGCTAGTTCGCCACAGGGCTGGTGCGCCAGCCGCACAATGGGCTGTTTCGTGTTGCACGCCGGTCTGCCTTCATCACAAAGGCTGCATCGCGTGTGGTGTTTTTCTCCGGCTAAACAAACAGGTAGAGTATTTCAGTTATTTAGTGGTGCAGCTCACAGTACCGAAACCTGCGGCTGCTACTGTGTTTTCAACAACGTTAAAACACGTGTAGTTGCCTTTTCAAAACATGATTTCTGTCAGTTTATGTTTTCACCATCAAATAAGTATTTAGAGAGGTCTTTGCGAGGCAGGTATGTTGTCTTTCATACTGGCTAATGGGTTTTACTTGTTTAACTGCTCTACAGAGGCCATAAGGGACTGTGGGTAGGTTTAGCGACCTGGGTGCCTGGGCTCGCAGCGGCTGGGACTGCAGTGCCTGGGCCCTCGAAGACTAGGCCTACAGTGTCTGGGCCTATATTGCCTAGGCCCTCAGTGGCTGAGAATTTAGGGGGTAGGCTCACAGTGGCTGGGACAACAGTGGCTGGACCCTCGGTGGTTGCACCTGCGGTGCCTGGACCTGCAGTAGTCGGGCCCTGAGTGGCCGGGCGTTTGCAACATCCATGTTCTTTATTGTTGGAGGGCCACAACTTGCTCATTCAACCATTAACCCCAAGCTCCCACAGAACTGTGTTACTTGAATTCACAGTCCCACGTGTTTTTTTATGGATAATTGTGATGCGCAGTGTGCATTGTGATGGTAATACTGTGTCTTGGGATTCACGAGTGTAAGTTTCATATTGTGTTGCAATGTACACAGCCTTGATAGAAATCTTACATCGAGCCGTAAATGAATGTGATCTCTCGCTCTTCAACAGTGCGAGTGACCACTCCAGCCGACTTTAGAATCGCAGTGGAGCTCCGATGCATTCACGAACATCGGCGGTTAACACATCACGGCCGCTGAGTATAGAAGACAGGCATTTAACAGATGTATATTGATTTATTACTTTGTATTAAAGTTTAAATTCATGTATTCAATTTGATTCTCTTTTATTAATGACAGTCCTGTTGCATAGAATTGAATGTTAAAAATATTTATATCGAAATTATTGGCAAATTTTAAATATATATTCCTGAGGCACAAAATTATAAAATGACATGTTCTCCGAGTTGCAATGCCTCTCGTAATTCTGGTAATGCCTGATGAAGGGCCATTGTCTAAAGCATGAATTTGTGCTTTTTAGGCAGTGCGCTTGTTGGGTAGCAAGTTGACATTGGTAACGCTCGCACCTCAGCAAAAGTTCCTGGGTTAGATTCCTGGCTCAGGTGACCTTCTGTATGGACTTCGTGTGACCTTCTGTATGGACTTCGTGTGACCTTCTGTATGGACTTCGTGTGACCTTCTGTATGGACTTCGTGTGACCTTCTGTATGGACTTCGTGTGACCTTCTGTATGGACTTCGTTCTCCCCCTGTTGCTTGGGTTTCCTCCAGGTTCTCCAGTTTTTTTCCCAAAGCTAAAAAATATATAAATACACAATTATATAAATACATGCCGTTATTGCTTGAAACATATAAATATATACCGTTATTGCTTGAAACATTCCAATGCTGAAAAAATGCCTGCAAATTATTTAATTGGTATTACACATGGCAGCAGACACATCGCCCACATACTGCGAAATGGTCTTGGGACTCGGTGAAACTTTCCTGGGTAAACAAGCGGAATAATAAAAATAAATTATGGTGCTGGCGATATAGTGGCCATACATTCATCTTTAAATTGCCTATTTGGTTACTTCTTAATAGCAGGTGGCTCGCCCGGGCACGTCCTCGTACAGATGAACTAGGATCGAACGACACAAAAACTGGCTCGGAGGTTGAGCGAGGTGTCCACGTAGCTATGCAAACCTGAGCGAGCAACCGTATAAGAAACAATGCCGATGACGATGATTGCTTAGACTTAGTGTGTGTGTGCAGTGCATCTTAGGTCAATAGCATAACTATTGAGTGCCTATAGTTAATGTGTTTAATCATTGAACACAATGATGTAAGCTAACACTGCGTTGTGTGCGGGGGTCGCCGGGGTCGCGGTTGTCGCGGGGGTTGCGGGGTTCGCGGGGGTTTGGGGGGGTCGCGGGGGTCACGGGGGTCGCGGTTGTCGCGGGGGTCGCGGGGTTCGCGGGGGTTTGGGGGGGTCGTGGGGGTCGCGGGGGTCACGGGAGTCGGGCTCTGTGCCACTATCCCTGTGAGCTGCACTGGCTTCCTACCCAAACACAAGTGGTAAACTCACCATGGCCCTGATGTTTCGCTATGATCGACTCCATAATTAATACTTTTTGCGCTGTATCCCCCGGGTGGATGAAGGAGGAGATCGGTCGCAGTGCTTTCTACGCCACTCTTAATCAATGCTTGCCATGTACAAGCTTGACGGCGACGGTTTGCAGACTAAACGCCCAGTCAAATAACGGTGCTCATCATTTCTATTGTGTCTTGAGCTCGTGGTGGAAATTCCACAACAACCGCCACTGAACCCTCATCCATTGTTACTTATTTAATTACCCTGGAGGGATGCTATCAATAACTAAGTTAGAGGCATACCCTTGACGCTGTTATGTACCGAGGCAGCGCATTTACTCTGAGCGATGTGCCGACATAGGGGACGGCAGTGGCCTAGCACGTCAGCGTTCTGTTGAGCCCATGACAACTAAGTTTGTTGCAAAGCGTTTTTGATGAATAAATATTTGTCTAGAGAGCACAGAATCGGCTGTTGTGTGACCTTTGACTGCGATCAATCATATGACAGGTCGCGGTGACCCTTGCTTGTCATTTATTTGATGGATTTTTCCCATCCCACATGTCTGTTATAGGAAGCAGTGATCAGATTTGTCCGGAATATTGGCTATAAAATTTCTATACATTGAGAAATGGTGCAGCGACCATTGCCAGTGACGTTTGCCGTGAGTGATTCCCACACTACCACAGGCTTAAGGCAATGGCTCCATTTCTGTGCTGAGTCAATGATCCCCCATGCTGTCTGTCTGTCTGTGTCTGCAGTTCCAGGAAAGTGTGAGCAGGGAGCTGCAGCTGGAGAAGGACGCATCCTTCTGCCTCTGCGTGGACGGGCCTTTGTTTCTCCGACAAGTGTGCCATCCAGAGGCCTCTAGAAAGGTGTGGCGCTCATCGTGCAAGGAAATGGTGAACACACACGTCTCACAACAACAACGATTGCCGCTTACCACTAATTGGTGTCGACGTCACCACGGCACTTGTGCCTGACTAGGTGCAACTTGAGGCCATGCGAAGTGTCGAAGGTTTGGTGCCAAGAAAGAGCAGGAAACACGTGTCGAGCACACACACGGGTATTCAGTCGCACTGGAATAACGCTACCGATCTTGTGCTTTACGCCACTGAGAATGAAACTTTTCAGTATATTTACAGTTTTTAGTTGTTTTGTTCACATGTTACGGTTTCCCCCTTTCGGGGAGCATCTGCACAAATGCACGCACCACCATTGCACAACAGCTCAAGCGGCGCTCGCCACCAGACAAGCATTCTGAGCGGGTCCCTGTATTCATGCAGGGCGTCTCTCTCCCACACTGCTTCAACTCCTACTATGACCTCCGCAAAGAGTTCGCAAAATGCTGCTCCACCAGCCAAGAGATCAACATCTGGACCATGGCTGATGGTATCCTTCACCTTGGGAAGGCGCTCTGCATGTGCTGATTTTAAAGCTAAGTTGATCTGTAACGAGAATTTTCCAGGTGCTCGTATGAAGGTTTGGGTGGCCGCATGGTGGCAGTGCAGTGGTGACACTCGTGCCTAACAGCAAGAAGGGACTGGGTTTTATTCCCAAACCGGGCGACTTCCTGCGTGGAGTAATTCTTCTCTCCTCCTGTTCGGCATGGGTTTCCTCCACTTTCTCCCAAATTCTCCCATAGCTAAATACACACAATGTAGGCGGTGTTGGCAAAACATTCCATTTGCAAAATAATTTACCTGCAAATTACTCATTTGGGATCACACACAGCAGCAACATGGCCCCCTACTGCGAAAGCTTGACAGGATCCTCCTGAAAAAGAGTATTGAGACTCAATCAGGCTTCTAATCAAAAGTGATTACAATAATGTTCGTTAATTTTTATTTATTTAACTACGATCTGACAGACGATTTGCATGTGGACTACTTCAAGATTTGCATGTGAATAGAGGTGATCATGTGATAAGCATTGCAGTTACATATCCAAATACTTTACCATCATTTATAATGAATGTTCTAGCAAATGTAAATGCAATAGTGGTGGGATAGTGATTAACACTCGTGCCACCTGAATTCAATTCCCGGCCGCGGCTTGCATCAGTGGCGAGCGACATCTGAACGGGTCCTTGGGTGAGGTATCGTCATACAGCCCCAGTGGTCGACACAGCATGGGGAGGCATTCATCCAGCAGTGGATTGAGGGAAGGCAGAATATTTTAGTTTTTACTGCATATCAAGTTGTAACATAACCGAGGCATGTCTGCACCCCTTTTTAAGACTGCGGCGTCGCTTTTATGAAAGGTCATGGAAGTTGTTTTTGTCTGGCATTACCTTTTATAAAATAATAAAGCTCATCTTGTGGAGCTGGCTGCGTGCTCAAAGGTCAAAGCACTGAGCTGGCACTGCTGAGGATTTGAGTTCCGTATCTGCGCAACCGCCCCAAGTTCAGGTGGATTCTAATGTCGAGATTTGATAGTCTCTGCCCTTTCTAGATTTAAAGCTTTCGTGACTGCTAGGATCCATACTCTTTGGTTCTATGTTCTAAATCGAACTAAACATTAAACTAATTTCAATGGTACAGTATATTTTTCAAGTAGTGGTACCCCAAACTTTCGCAGCTCTTATAAATTCCCTTTTCACACCATCAATAGGTAAACTCCCCCTCCCCCCCCCGCACCAAACGGCAAGTCCACCGGCACATACACCACCTCTTTTCTAAAATTGGCCAATCAAATGCTATTTTTTATGCTAATTTCTTTGTCAGGACACCTTGTTTGCTCGCACACAGTTTAAAGGTCCGCGGTCTGAGCGTGGTTGTGTTTCGCTAAATTCTCCTGTTTGATTTGTACTAGGTGCCTCGGTGAATGTATATGCTCTGACTTTAACATAGCTATTTCTGCGACCAGTTACAAGCTAATCACTCAGCTATTTCAATGCTAAGTTCTATGCTAATTCCTTTGTCAAGGGGTGCCTCTGCGGATGTGTATACTTTAACTTAGCTATTTCAATAAGCCATTTCAATGCTAAATTATATGCTAATTCCTTTGTCAAGGCGCTTTGTTTCTTCTCACACAGCTTAAAGGTCGTGATCTGAGCGTGGCTTTTTTCACTCCAGCGCTGTCCTCCAGACAGTCTCGTCCCTTCACCTGATGAAGGCCGCTTGTGTTGTGGCCGAAACGTCGTGATTTTTGTTATTTTATTTTTTACCTACGTGACTTTACCCAATAGAACCAAAGAGTATAGTCTCTGCCCTGTTTCTAAACACGTAGCTAAAATCTTTATTTGAAGCTTTCGTGACTGCAGGAATCCATACTCTTTGGTTCTTTCGGTAACTTAGATAAAGCCACATGTCCAATGTAATTGGTACCGGACAAAAGAGGTGAATAACTACCGCAATCAAAGTTTGCGGCGATGGTAGCGCCCGAGGGTACCTCGGCAGCCACCCCGGGTTGTGGCGCCGGTCTCTGTGCTGGGGTGGCAGCCGTTGGCGCTCGTGTCCTTGACGCCTCGTGCCAGCACTGGGGGTGACGCGCGACGCCGACGCGGAGTTCGGAGCAGCGGAGGCGGCGGCCATGAGCAAGATCATTCTGGCGCTGGCCGCGTCCCCCTACAGTGAGTTCATCTTAAATTTTGACTTAAAACTTTTGTGACTGCAGGAATTCATATTCTTTGGTTCTTTTGGTAAAGTCACATACATAGAAAAATTATAATAAAAATAAAGTGAATAAAAAAATTAAAACAATTTTAAATAAAATCTAAATAATAAAAAACAAAAATCACTAATGTAGACTGTAGCCTGGTTCTTAATCTGAGTGAGCGTACTGGCAGGTTAAGAACCATGCTACAGTCTACATTATAGACTGCCAGTACATTTACCCAGCTTAATAACCATTGCTACAGTCTACATTATAGACTGCCAGTAGAGTCACTCAGATTAAGAACCAGGCTACAGTCTTAATTAGTGGTTTGTTTTTTAATAATTTGTATTATTTTATTATTTTTATTAACTTTTTTTTAATCTACGTGACTTGACCGAAATAACCAAATAATATGACTTCATCTTAGCCGCTTGACCCTGACCATGTGCTCCTCACATTTGAACCCTGAGATGTTATTATTGAAACCATGTGTTCTAGTTTGCTTTACATTGCAAATGAGAGAACGTGTTCTCTGGTCACGGTGATGTCTTGGCTGACGGCCGTGGAGGTCTCCCTCCGTTCGTAGGCCTCGGCTCTTGGGGGTGCTCGTTGGGACTTGAGAAATAATCGCCGAATCGTTTTACATATTTAAAACAACCCAACACATATCTACAAATGCACATACAAAATGACTATGACGATTTACACATGGTGCCATAGATAACTCCGTTTATATTACAGGAATTTTAGGCTCAATTCTTTAATTAAAATAAAAAAGTTAAGTCTCCAACAATGAAATCTTGGTAAATTTAGCTCATTGATAATTACATCCATCCTGAAATTAGTTCTAAGGGTAAATATCAGTGGCTAAACCACTCTCGGATCCTCGTGATATAACCATAAATATCTCAATTTGAGGCACTTCGGTGAACTGATAGAAGTTCAAAGAGAATATCTCGTGAGCCACCAAATACAAATCACTCCCCTTACTGTTCCACTGCCCACACCAGGGCCGGGGCTCAGGAGATGCTGGCGTGGGGCTAACACCGACAAACGTCCCACCCCATCCGAGAGGAGCTGGAGCCAGGCCTGGCTGCTACTCGTTGATATTTCACTTTCTTTGTTTTCATAGATCACAAGTTCTCTAACCCAGAGGAAGTGATGAGTCAATTTGAGTCAGGAAATTGGTAAGTCCTGTAAACGCATTTCCACCTTGATTTGTTGCGTTGATTCCTTACCCCACCGGCCAGGGGTTTTCCTGACCTTGTGCCACGCGGTGGGCCGTCACTGTGTGCGTGTGAGCGATGGCGTAGTGGTTAGCGTGCTGCGCTATGAACTTGGCGATCCGAGTTCGATTCCTGCTCATAGTCAACACCTGTGACGATTATCTGAATCGGTCCTGGGCCTCCCCTACGTCGACTCGGCCTCAAATGAATAAAAGTGTGGTGTGTAAACATTGTCACTGGGGAGACAAAGGCAGCCAGGGCATGAGCAGGCCACCCCCTCGTGTGCTGTGCCGGCCTTCATCGGTGCTGCTCGCTAACAGCACTTGCACCAACAGTCTGTTAAGGCTATACGCGGGATCTTTGTCTTTGTGTGCGTGTTTAGCAGCCATTACAACAGTGTGCATGGTGACACGGTGGTGCGTGTGCGGGGGCTGCCCTGGCAGTCGTCCGACCAGGACATAGCTCTGTTCTTCAAGGGCCTTAACATCGCCAAGTGAGTTCCCGTCCAGCAGTGTGCGCCGCGCGATCAGGATGCTCTCCCAATATTTGGATTCGTTCATAAATGAGGCCCAGAAACAAACATTTTGACGATCCTACAAAAATAAATCATAGCTTTGGATTCTGGAGGCCTTGAGGCACAGTCCCCTGCAGAGTGCCTTATCCATGAGTGACAAGAACATGGGCCCATTAGTGGGGCCCTCTCTTGTGTAAGGACAAATTCCCCCTGCTGCCCCTTCCCCCTCTGGGCAGCCCGGTAAGCGTGGGACACGGAGACAGCGATCGTTGTCGATGGACTCCGTACACAGTTGTGGGCCGTGCCGGAGACAATGTTCTTCATCGCCTGCTCTCCCCCTCTACACTCCTGCCACTAGGGGAGGAATCGCCCTGTGCTTGAACCCGCTGGGCCGGCGCAACGGCGAGGCGCTGGTCATGCTGCAGGACGAGCAGCAGAGAGACTTGGCGCTCAGCCGGCACAAGCACCACATGGGCTCGCGCTATATCGAGGTGACGCGCACCGTGGCCCCCCGCCTCCCACCCTCCGACAGCGTCGAGTGAGCTGGGCCGAGCCACGCACTCACCTCCTCTCCATCCTCTCGCACTCTCACCCTACATCCTGACGAGGTTTGTCAGATGATACGCGAGACGATGTGAGTGATGGTAACTATGCTGTTTTGCAGGTCTATAGATCTTCTGCAGAGGAATTCTCAAAGATAGCAGTTGGTAAGTTGTTTCTCTGATGGTCCCGGAGCTTGATTGTTCATGTTTCCTTGCGGTTGGTCATCTGCAATCAGTTGCTCATTTATCCACATATGCGTGTGACCAGTCGCGCTTGACCAGCCATCATCCTCGTGACAATTCCTCAATGAGAATGCTTATCCGTGCGTCACTGTGTCCGTGCATTCGTCTGACCTGGTGTCGGCATTGCCCTTGGCCCGCTATCGCACGTCCCCAGGCGCGTCGAGTGAGGTCTCGCAGTTCCTGGCGCGCGAGGGTCAGGTGATCGTGCGTATGCGGGGGCTACCCTTCGCGGCCGCGCCCGACGATGTGCTGGCCTTCTTCGGCGCGGCGTGCCCCGTGACGGCCGGCCGCCAGGGCCTGCTCTTCGTGCGCCACCCTGACGGGCGGCCCACAGGCGACGCCTTCGTGCTGTTCGCCGGCGAGGAGTGCGCGGCCGCCGCGCTCGCCAAGCACCGCCACATGCTGGGCAAGCGCTACATCGAGCTCTTCCGCAGCACGGCCGCCGAGCTGCAGCAGGTGCCGCCCGCACACCCGCAGCCACCGTCTCGACGCACTAGCGCCGGACGCTCCGTCGCTGCGCTCGCCGTTTCTCGTCGTTTAGCCGGGTGGTGCCGGCGATGGGTACGCTGTGCGTGGTCCGTGATCTGGCACTGCGGAGGCAGCAGCGAGGGTTGGTGGATCTCACACCGATATTGTGAAGCTTTCTTCCTGTGGGTGTCGAGGAGGAGCCGGCTCGCCAGCAGAAGGCGGTTAAGCAAAAATGTTCCGTCTGTATGGGATAGAGTGTTTCCCCCTCACACGTGTGGATTTTCTTCAGGTAATCTGGTTTCCTCCGACATGTAACCACTCATTAACTACCCGATAACACCTTAATACATAGAGGACGACAGAGCTTCAGCAACAGTTGGCACCAACTCACAGCGTGGCTGAATTTCCGTTGTTGAGTTTACTCTCCACAATGATGCTATGTCTTGTCTAATGGAAGAGAAGTGAATATGGATGCCAAGTTCGAATTACTTGTGTCTCACTGTTCTATTCAAGGGGTGGCAAGGGAATTGGTGGCGAGTTATTCTTAATCGTTGGTCAGTGTTGAGCGATGCTGGCGATGCTGGCGATACTGATGAGTCCATAGTGATTCTCGTGATCTATCGAGGTCCTGATGTGTTAGCACGAGCTCCTTGGTTAGGTCCGATTGTTCGAGGCGTTCATAGATATTACGGGTCCTCCCTTCAGCAGGCTCTGCCAGCGGTTGTGGCTGCAGTGGACAAATCATTTGGCTCTCACATGCACATACCGCTTGCATTTGGCCAGGGGAGGAAGTATAAATGGATTGGGCACGGGCTCCAGGACAGATGTGATGCTCTGGCAGAGAAGGACTTGGAGCTTGGTGGATTTTTTCTGGCTGCCACCAGCAGCGTCCGGCTCTTTGGAGACTATGGGTGATGCTACCAAGCAGACAAGGGCCACAGCTGGCCGTGCCCGCTCACGGAATAACCACTGCCGCCACCTTCCCAGGTGCTGAACCGCGTGATGTCGACGCCTCTGCTACCTGTGGTCCCCGCGCTGCCGTCGCCATTCCCCGGAGGGCCGCTGTGCCCCAGCGGGCCGCTGACCCCGGGAGGGCCGCTGACCCCGGGAGGGCCGCTGACCCCCGGCGGCGCCCAGCGTGACTGCGTACGCCTGCGCGGCCTCCCCTATTCCGCCTCCATCGAGGAGATCCTCGACTTCCTTGGGGAGTTCGCCGGCGATATCCGGCCCCAGGGCGTGCACATGGTGTTCAATCAGCAGGTGGGATCGTGGGTGCAGTCTCGGCCTAACACCACCCAATAGCAGAGCTCAGCTGTGGCTCCGAGGGCCCGCGTGTGAAGCTGAGAAGCCGACGGAAACAAAACATACGTGTTTTTAGAGCATTAAACTGAACTTAAAGATAAAGCAGAGCAGTACACACACCGTGCGTTATGGGAGCATGTATGTTAATTCATTTTGGTCGACCCATTTAATTATCTGGCCGGATGGCACACAGGTAAAGTGCTCGGCTCATGACTGCAAGGTCGAGAGTTTGAATCCAGGCTGGGGGTGGTCAGCCTTTCATCCCTCCAGAGTCGATACAATGAGTACCACCTGAGGGGGTGTGTATGCACCTGTACGCTGGCCCGCCCGGCAAGGAAGTAGCACCCCTTCGGCTGTGGACAGCTGTGCAGAGAGAGCGCTCCTCAACTTGGTTCACACTGGGGCTGCCACCCAAGTAGTCTACGAGTTGAATCAATGTCATTATCTTCGTGCAGATGTGCCATCACCTCAGTGCGTGTCCACGTGCCTCACTCTCACCCCCCGTGTCCCCCCCACCCCGGCAGGGCCGCCCGTCGGGCGATGCGTTCATCCAGATGCGTGGTGCGGAGCGCGCGGCGCTCGCGGCCCAGCGCTGCCACCGCCGTTCGCTGCGGGAGCGCTACGTTGAGGTGTTCGCCTGCTCCGCAGACGAGATGAGCGTCGTGTTGCTGGGTGGCTCGCTCAACAGCAATGGCCTCTCCCCACCACCGTGTACGCATGAACAAACGGACGCACGAACAAATTAACGCATGCGCACGCATGCACACGCACGCACACGCGCTGTGTCCTCCTGTCTGTCACATGGAGAAATACATTGTACATCGAGACCTTGGGAAACCACATGACAGAGATGTTAGGGGCCAACCGGCCTCTTGAATTAACTGAACTTGGGAAAGGGTTTTTATCTTAACATTGACCCCATACTGTCACTTACATCCTGGAAAAGACAAATCAGCATCAAGAAGCACAATGTTGGTAACACTGTTGACAAGGAGGTTAAAACTGAGCCGTAATAATTATACAGATTGGTCAATACCCATTGGCTGATCGCTGCACCGGGATGATCCCGATTGGTCAGGCAGAACAGCCACAAACAATCGACGGACTGCTCGACCAGCGAATATTTGTTTGGCCAAGGGATTCAAAAGGAATTTATTCGGGAGTCTGGTTAATATTGCAATGGCTGAAAGCAGGTTCTAGAAGGAGGGGTCGTGAGAGGATATGAGGGATGGTAGAGGAGAGAGCACGAGGTGCGTTCAAGATCTCGTGGAATTAAGCCGACCTTAAGTGTGCGCCGAACTCTTCTGTGCAGAAGCGACGATGATACTCCGCCGGCTGGAGACCGGACGTTGCGGTGGCATTGTGTTTGCTGATGTGCAGCACGGGAAGAACCGAGGTCGAAGGTGGAACACCGATAGCGTTCGGTGGAAGAATGAGCCTTGCCATGAACATGCCACACAAGACGTGCGGTCGCTGATTAAACAAATTATCCTTATGGTGGTACCCCAGGGTACCAAATAATACAAAATGGCCGAGGCAATTTAATATTTTATTTCTGGGACACTATTTTTTTCAGGGGTGTACTTAACTCCGCGACTGGGGTACCAATCAATCCGAAATCGGTTCTACTCGGTGAGTCGAAACGCAACGAGGACAATTGCGCCGAAACCCTAAACACTCGTATGCACCGTAGTGGTGCATCGTGTACAGCTCGTCGAGATGAGTCGATTGCCGCATCGCCGGCCATCAACAGAGTAAAAATGACTGCATCACGGACATTATGCGAGAGCCGGGGTACTATGGTACCCCGGGGTACTGCCATAAGGTTCAAATCCTGACTGGGCAGCAGCCAGGAGCTGTGCGCCACTGCTCCTTCTGCATAGATCCCTGTGAGTGGGTGTGTGTGTGTGCGCGCTCACTCAGCGGCTGTACCGTCCCTAAGGCTGGCAATAGCTTCTTTGTGTGTGTGTGGGAGGAGGAGGAGATGGGAAGGAGAAATTTTACCCAAGTTCGATCCTGGTCATGCACAACATAATTGGCGGTTGATCTCTAAACCAATCCAAGTTGTCTTTTGGATTTAGTGACCTATGCCCCGGTGCTGGGGAGATGAAGGGACCCTGCCTGTTGTTGTGTTGGCCATATTACGCATTGCCTTATAGGATGTGCCCCCTTGTGATGCAAGGCTGAGCGAAGCGGCTTTTGTGCACGTCCGTGTTTGTGCGTGCGCGCGCGAGTATAGGCCTATCGCCGCCGGGCATGCTCACCTTCCCGCCGCAGGGGCCCATGTTCAGGCCCGAGGCTGCCCTCTTCCCGCACCCGATGCTGCTGGGACCGCCGCGCCCCCCTCCGTGCGCCCCGACGGGCGGCTTCTATCAGCCGGCTGCGAGCACGCAGCTCTTCATGAACTACACGGCCTACTACCCCAGGTGGGCACTGCGCCCGGGCCGCGCGCACCGTGCTGAGGCCAACGACGCATTCGCCGGGCGGAGGTGTCACTGTCTTGTAGAACTGGGAGATGATGCACTATCTCAACTCGTCATTGTGAGGCTTATCGTCTGTGTGTGTGTGTCGGGCGTGATGCTGGCCACCCACCCCCTCGTGTGCCATGCCGACCTCCATAGGTGCTACACGCTAACAGAACTTGCCCCAAGTCTGTTCAGGATAGATGGGGGGGATCTTTGTCTTTTTAGGTGTGTGTGTGAGAGACTTGTCCCTGTGTGTGTGGCGAGCAGCCCCCCGGTGTCGCCGAGCACCATGGGCTTTTTCCCGTCGCCCCCCGGCATGGCGCTGCCCCCACAGCCTGGCGCTGTGGTGCGTATGCAGGGACTGCCTCATGGGGTTGGGGTCAAGGATGTCCTGGGTTTCTTCCATGGGTACCAGGTGTGTGGCCACTCCACTTTCACCCCTCCTGTGCGTAGCAACGTCACCGTGCTCCTCCAACTCCACCGTGCCCCTCCATTGCTGCCATGCCACTCCATCGCCTGTCAACAAATTGTCACGATTTGGGTCAGAATCCCAGTGGCTGCAAGTGCTACATGGAATATTTTACGTGCAGCATTTCTGAATTAAATCATTCCACTCGCTCCCAATCATTTCCTGGATACATTTTAAGATCACACTCACCAACTTCAAGATCCTTCATTGACTCTACTCTGCCTATCTCCCCTTTCATCTCATCATATTTCCCTCCACATACTTCTGCTCCAGCTACGAAAGCTTTCTGCCAATGCTGCCAATTAACCTTTGCTCCTTCTCATTCTCCATATTTACCCCAAAGTTGGGGACTCCCACACCATCCGTGCATCAACTGCCTGCCCCTGTTCAAGTTCAGACTCAGGGCATTCCTCTTTGCTTCTCTCTCTAAAATAAACATGCTCTGTTTCTGTGCAGGGTTTTGACTTGTGGTTACATTTAGACCATCTGTAGAATCAAAGAACAATGTAATGCAATGAATCTGGTCTGCAGGTTTCTGCTGCTGAATAGCATTTGTCTGCAAGGTCCCCATAGCATACTGGACGAGAGTAATATTAGTTTGTTATGTCGAGAGATGAGTGGAAGCCGAGTTACGAAAATGCTGATGTGGGGATGGTGTAAGCGCGAGTGATGGCAGCGTGTCCCTGTGGGAGAATCTAAACGTGGGCGTCCGCTTGCCGGCACGCCAGGTAATGGCCGGGGAGAGCGCGGGCCACGTGGCGATGTGCGGCCCACCGCGCTCCACCAAAGAGTGGCTCTGTATCTAGGCAAGGGCAGGCCTCGGCAGGTAAGGCACCAGCTTCTCCCATGCTCTGCTTGGTGGAGTCTCCCCGTCGCGACTGCGGTGGTGGTGGTGGTGTTGGTGGTGGCGTGTCGTAGGTGTGGCGTTGTGGCTGTGGTGATGCTGGTGGCGTGGTGCGGAAATTTGCGGGTGTGGTGTTGCGGCTCTGGTGGCGGTGCTGGTGGCGCGTGGTGGGCAGAATCCTCGCAGGTGTGGCAGTGGGGCTGTGGTGGAGGTACAGGTGTTTTTCCACTGGCGAAGCCGCAGGAATCAAGAAATATGTAGCTGATGCTGCGTCCTTACAGTGTACTGGCCCTGAGTCAGATTTGAACGTTTTGTGAGACAAGCGCATTACAGTTTGGTTCTGGCTCGACACGGCAAATAACCAGTGGAAACCACCCATGTTTCAAAGGCCCATCGCTGCCTTTGCTCGAATGTGCCAGTAGAAAAGGGGTATTGGTAAGCTGTGAGTGAACGAGGCCAAAGATTATTTTAATTTTGAATCGTGTGATTACCGCTATTTTAATGCAAATATTTTTTGGACTGTGTTTTGTCGTATGATCATACACGAGTTGGTGGAGGATTCGTGTCATGTGAATTGATACAATGGGCTGAAAAAAATCCAAATACTGTAAACACAAGAGGTATTGATATTAATATTTTTTAATTGTGCTTATAACTTCCACGCAAAACATTCCAGCCTCATGAAATCTGATTGTTTTCTTGGTGTCGAGGCAGAAACACGACCACATTGGTGTCATCATCTGGAGATGCGTGCAGCCTCTAGCCACTGAAAATCGGGGAAAGTACTTAGCCACAAACTAGATTCGAAGCTTTCGTGACTGCAGGAATTACTCTTGGGTTCTTTCGGTAAAGTCACGTAGAAAATAAAATCAAATAATAGAATACGACGTTTCGGTTGCAACACAAACAACCATCATCAGGTAAGAATGTATGATAAAACACAGATACGGGAACAGCATAGGTAGACACATGCAGAGAGAGACACACAAAGATACACCGAGCGAGACACACACCATGCGCGTGTCGTGCCTTTGGTTTTTGTTGGGCATTAAATTTCCCGTGTGTGTTCCTCCTCCACTTGCCCAGGTGCTGTGCGCGTCTCCACAGCTGTGTGCGTTTTTTGTGCCCATCAACTCGAGGGTACGCACGTTGGCGTGTGGCTGGCGTTTCTGCGTCTTTAAACAAACGTAGCCCAGTGTTGTGGCGTGCGTCGACTCATTTGCGACCTCTGGCCCTTGCCCTTCTGTCTTCTGCCCTGTCCCACCTCCCCTCTTGCCTTGCGCGACTTCGGCCTTCCACGCCGCTACCATGGTGTTCCTTGCCTCGCGCCTCCCGCCCCGTGCGAGATAGGTTAGCGCGGACTCGGTGCTGCTGCTGTACGGGCTGGGCGGGCAGCTGAGCGGCGAGGCGCTGGTGTCGTTCCCATCGGTAGACTCGGCGCGCCAAGCAGTCGCTCATCTGCAGCACCAACGAATGGCTGGCCAGGCCATCCAACTGCACCTCGCCTGAGCCTGCCGCGGCTTCATCGCTTCAGCTCTGTCTCTGTTAAACTAAAGAAATTGGAAAGCTCTGCCTCATCTCCTGTCATGGTATAGTCTTCTGTACGCTGCCGGACCTGCCTTGGGATTCCACTGTAGGTCTAATCTTCACAGGATGATGGGCCACTTTTGCTTCCATAGGTTTTTTTTTGCTGATGCGCGCACATTACTGCTCCCTTGTATTCATGCTACATTTTAAACACCCATCGTTTTAGAATCATGGTTCATGTATGGTCTGGCAGCACTCAAAGTTGGGTGCTCCTGGCTATGCATTCATATTCCTCAATTACAAAAACCTGAGATTTGGATTTGACCAATTTGCCGTCATGTGAGTAATTGGCTGCTATCTGCAGCCGACCAGCTGTGCTCCGCTATTGCGACTGGAACACTAATAGATGGTAGAGTAGTCCATTGTGTTAAGGCCCTCAAGCCCTTCTCAACGTGGCCAGCACTTTCGGACATACACGTGTTATCCTTGCTAAATTTCAGTGATTGAAACCTCCTTTTCCACACCCAATTGTCCTCGGTTATGAACTCGCTTTTGCAGTCCCATGTCCCACTCAAATGCAGAACATAAAAATTGAATCAGCCTTAATGCAGTCCATTCGCCTCCTTTTGTTATTTGTTTTCTTACAGATTTTAATGCCGCCACCAGAGGGGATTATGGGAAGTCAGCCTCCTTGTTCATCCTCGCGGCACTGCCAGGGCCGCCTACTTGACTGGTTTCATTAGACAAGCTTCTGATTGTCCTCCTCTGCTTATTGGATAGTTTTCACATACTGTGAACACCTTGACACGAACGAAAACTGGTTTAGGGCAATCATCAATTAAAACGTTACAGAAACCCAAAGCACCTAATTCTTTGTGGGTTATAATTCGCAACGCTTTGAGAAAAATAACGAATTTAATATTTTAGGAATATTTTTTTAAATGTTGCTATTCACTTTACTTCACAAGGACACCAAGCGTCATCTCTAAATATATTGAAATTAAGTATGCAAGGAAAAGACTTAACATTTCCTAAAAAAAATGTGATTGCTGACTTGTGCATGAATACTGCAAGGTGAAATGTACCGATGATGTGTGAATTCGGAAACTCCTCTCCTCTGCCACTTTAGCCATCGACATTGCATTTACACAAACATGTCGATGTACCCTGGTACAGTTGTTCAAACGCCAGCAGGTATCAATAAAGCATCTTAAAAGCAAAAAAAAGTAAAATTATTTAGAAGCATATGGTACCTAATTGTTACGACTTAATTTTCCCCAAAATTATGGCAACGGCGATAGAAAGTGCTGCGGAGCACTGGGCCGCAGCCGCGTGTTTCGGTGCAACAGTGGAGACTGGAGGCCACAGGCGTTGCCTGGCTGTGTTACTAGGAAAATAACTCGTGACCCGGCAAGATACTGTAATTCCAGTCGTCCTCCCTTAAGTCCACTTTTGTTTGCAATGTAAATGTTGACTTAAGAAGTAAATAGTTACAGTGGACTGATAGTCATATATATTAAGATCGGCAACTAATAATGATTTATATAATTAGTTGTATTTGGTCGTGAATTAATGGTATTGAAAGCATGTTTTGTTCGTATTTGTAAAGTTACTGATTCATCAAAATTGGCTTGCCACTTTGTGTAACAAAGGCACTCTTGGGGTTTCTGTAGCGGCACGGCTTACAATTAGGATCTGAACAATTGGACACTTTCACGATTCATAAAACATTTTTTAGTTAGGCGACGTAATTATCTGACCAAATTCTATATCATGAGAAACCCTTCACCACCGGATAGACAAACAGTTTACTGGTGAGCTGAATCAATAATGGCCCATAAAGGCTTATACACATGATAATTCTGATGATGAATTCCTATTGAAGGTTAAATCAATACATGCCACGCCAAAAAAATAATAGGAATCATAATATTGTCTATGGAAATCTACACGTTGACCAAGTGCTATGTTTTTAATGTCTTCGTAATTTGTAGCTCTGATTTGTGTACAGTTGATCGAAAAAAGAAGAGGCGGTGTGTTAAATGATTGAAGATGGCTTTTCTAATGGTATCTGTTTATTGGCTGCCATGTTGGAATTTGCTGCTCTGGATGTGAATGACGAGCCAATTGTGAAGATCATGGAAGTTGCACAGCCTTCTCTCCACTTCTCTACAGCTGCTGCATTCAGTTTCTGATGAAGGATGCAATATGACCTTCCTTCTAGCGTGTGCCTTCTCGTGAATATTAGGTTATATCAACACTTAACAGTTTTATTTTTTCTCATTGGATTAAGGTTGAGCGTATGTTTCAAGAATGTATCCTGGGGCAACTTAGCTCACCCTTTTGACTAATTTTCACTTAATGTTAATGTTTAATTATTAATTAATTAAAGTGCAGTGTTGCATATTTAATAATTTATAGGCCTCTAATGTCAATGCATAGGCCTCATTTATTTAATGCAATTGCCAAATTGTCATTTTTTTTGTAAGAAACTAAAAGTAGGGGGAAAAAGCAACGTATAAGTTTGTAAACGGAAAATACCGCAAATGTATATGTTGTAAGTTTATGCAACAGTTTATTTCTTATACAGGATGGATGTATTTTGCTCTTGAGAACAACATTGGCCAATGTCGTACCCTGCACGTGAATGGATTGTGGACTGAACGCTACACATTGTGAAATGTAGCCATAATATATTTCGGCCAAACTATATTCTTGGCAAAATGCAAGCCCAGTAATGCTGGACTGAGTGCACGGAAACCTGGTGCAGACATCGGCCTTCACTGGCTGTACACGCTCTTAAATGCGTGTAGAAGACAAATGTGCAGCTTAGTTTATTACAGATTGCAATTCATGGGTGCACTATAGCCATAATACACGACTGCCTCTATTGTGCCTGCTAGACAGCAGCTTGCTCTTGCAAACTCTGTTGGGGCCTCTTGACAATGGTGGTGTTAAAGGAAATGTCTTATGAAAGAACAGCACCAAGTTGACCAAAAGGCGGCACAGAAGGTAAAACAAAACGAAGAGCGCATTTACCCACCGTAATACTACAGACTGCCTTGAAAGCCTTGCGTTCGTTGTCATTTTGGTGCGATGGATTGCATGATGTGGCCGGCTGGCTCAGGAGGCCGATGCTCAGGTTGTCGAGCACTGCATCTGCACCCGTGTCCTGGGCTGCTACTCAGAATTTTAATAAAATTAGGTCCCCAGGTGAAGTTTGATGAATTGGCTCAGTCCAACCACCCATTACTGCACCAACTCCATCATGTAAAGTAGCTTTTGGTTTAAATGTATAAAGCTTTGCACTCTTTACTCAAAAGATTTGATGTGTGCACATTAACCACTAGAGGGCAGTCTGATGCTTGTGTAAAACAGACCCTTTAAGAGATATTCGTTGAATCTTGGCGTTTACCTCCAGGTTATTCCATACCATGATGGCTGGTTCTGCTATGGTGTAGGCATCAGGAATGGAATGTTTCACATGCAAGCAAATTCTGGGTGAATTAAAATTACAATGGTTTTCTCCGAGGTGACTGCTGGATCCATCGGCTACAAACAGGCCTCACAGTCCTTCCGCAGCATCCTTCGTGCCAAAATCGCATTATGTGGGCTTGGGTGCATGTTCTCCAGAATGGACAAAAAATTCCCCAGAGAAAACATATGCAATTTGTAATTTGGTTACAAGAAATATAATAGTTCTGAACTGTTACTTTGTGCTTAGTAAAAAAATATGATGGCAATGTCGATGCGTTTGTTTTCTACTTGACGTTTGGATAGCAGGTGATTAAAAGCGAGTATTCTGAGATTTATGAATCGATATTTTTACGTGACACGATGAATCGTTTCCCTCATTCTTACATCGGAGAAATATTTGATTATCCTAAGTTTAAGAATAAATGTTAGGCCATTAATTAATAGATGGTCTCAAGCTCTGATTTGGACAGCTCAGCAGGCCACTCCAAGAGCCGATGGGGCCACATCACCTATGGGCTTGAATTGCAGGAAACATTTTTTTACGTGAATACTGGATACAATTGCCCGATTGGATTATAATAAACTTGGAGTAGGATGATGCAGCTATTGTCACGAACAGAAATTCAAATTTTGTTTAACCAGGTGAGAACTAAAGAGACAATGATAGTCTAATTTGCAAGTTTGACTTGGGGTCACCAAAACGACGAAATAAACAAGTACAGTATAACAAAGATATTAATCGAGAACAAATCCCTAACGCTCAACACCTTAAGTACAGGTGAATCGGGCCTGTGTCCTTGGCACCCTCCTCTATGGGTATGAGTCCTGGGAAACATACGCCCATCAAGAACATCGACTAAACACATTCCACCTCTGCTGGCTCAGGCGTATCGTTATCAGATGGCAAGATCGTATTCCGAACACCTCAGTCAACTGGGCCAACATTCCCAGCATGTACTCTCTAGGCGCCTGAGATGGCTTGTACACGTGCGCCGCATGCAGGAAGGCAGAATACCCAAGGATGTCTTGTACGGCGAGCTGGCATCAGGCACACGGGCCACTGGTCGCCCAGTCCTGTGCTTCAAAGATGTCTGCAAACGGGACATGAAGAGCTGCGACATCAACCCAGGTGTCTGTGAGCAAACTGCTGGGGACCAACTCAGCTGGCAGCAGGCTGTGAAAACGGGCCTCAGGAGAGGCGAGGAGAAAAGCCACACTGCTTGGCAGACCTAGAGGGAGCGACGTCAAGAAAAAGCAACAGACACCTCTGGAGCTGCCACCGCATTCACTTGAAATTACTGTGGCAAGGATTGCCACTCAAGGATTGGCCTACTAAGTCATTCTAGGCGCTGCAAAACCTACAGCTGACCTGGTATGGCGCAAAATAATTTTCTCGAGACACAAGCCAATTGTAAGAACTGCGATACAGAAATCTGAAATGCTACACAAATGTAATAATCAAATGAAATACATTTCTTGTGACAAAATGTTCCTCCAAGTATAGTTCGTAAAAAGGGTGTAAAGTAAATTTAATAGTATCAGTTTTCATTATGCAATAGTTTTATGGCAAGCGACTTGAATCGCATCTCAACACGGTCATTGCACGGGCACCCCCAGTGGCAGCTGTCCCTGTGTGGCACAGAGTGACTACGCAGCTGGCTGAGTTATTTGGGAATTTGGCCAAATTTAGACCACGATGTGACGTGTGTGCTGTCCACGTTCGCCGAGTCTCAAGACTCCTGTAATTGTCGAGGAGATTCCTGCCCAGCTTGTGGCAGCAGGGGGCGATTCTGCGACTGGGACCCCACAGGTCACGGGGTCACCGCCACGTCACGTCCGCGCGTGACGTCACGCGGCGCTTGCGATTGCGCGGAGACACGAGTCGAGGTGAGAGCGGCGCTGTGATGCGGACCGCACACACAGAGGACGACCACTCACCGCACACACAACACACACACCACACAACAACACACACACACAGGACGACCACTCACCGCACACACAACACACACCACACAACAACACACACACAGGACGACCACTCACCGCACACACAACACACACAGAGGACGACCACTCACCGCACACACAACACACACACCACACAACAACACACACACAGGACGACCACTCACCGCACACACAACACACACACAGGACGACCACTCACCGCACACACAACACCAACACACACACATAACACACACAACACACACACAGGACGACCACTCACCCACTCCAGTGTCACGACCCACCACCACATACACGCTGAGTAACTACTTCTCACTGCTACACGCTGTGACGATGTACAGTACACAGTGCCACTGACACTCTCAGTACCATTACACACTCCGCCCGACAGAACTTGCACGACACGAGCACCGTGCAGCACAAACACCTTCGCCTGACGGCTCGTGCTCTTCTGCTGCTGTGATTGTCGCCCGTAGCACTGACAGTGACGAGCTATCACCATTTGGTGATTGACAAATCAGACACGTCACTGCGGTGAGTGGCAGCGATGTAAGTGATAGCGATTTAGAAATACGCGTTGAGAGAATTAGGCTGCTATACATGTTCGCACGATAAGCCACTTCGTTGCGCTATCATTTATGGACAGGTTACTTCTGAAAAAAAGAGCTGTGTAGCCCAGTGGGCCTTACCTGATAAAATAAAACAGTGACACATCAGTGAGTGACAAACCAGGCCCCATGGAATGGCCAAACTGCACGACCTTGCTGGATGCCGCGCGTGGACGTGGTCAGAGCGAGCGGACAGCACAACCATTTGGAATGGCGTTGCATTCGGAGACTACGTTTTACAATCCCATGTTCTGGAAACACTGGGATATTGGAACGCAGAGGATCTATGAATCATTTTCTCTTCCTTGATACTAATACGTGAGGCGCCTCTGCCCTCTCGCTGCCATCTATGACACGCAGCTCGATAGCGCAGCTCGAGTGGCGGTAGCGCAACTCGAGTGGCGGTAGCGCAGCTCGAGTGGCGGTAGCGCAACTCGAGTGGCGGTAGCGCAACTCGAGTGGCGGTAGCGCAACTCGAGTGGCGGTAGCGCAACTCGAGTGGCGGTAGCGCAACTCGAGTGGCCGCAGCGCGCTCGACGCGAGTTTATTTTGTCTGCACCTCCAGGTCCGGTCGTGCCATCTCAATCGGAAATCGGCTTACGTTGTGGAAAGATAAAACATGTTTTTTTAGCAAGTGTTGGCAGTGCAGTGTTTGTCGGTGTGTCCTTTCGGTTGACCAGTTTAATGTAGCAACGATGGACACACAAAAACATTTAAATTAACAGCCGCGTGTCGATTCGAGAGGAAACTCAATCGGTGCCATTGAGGACCGCAGCCCCTTGTCGTGGGAGGGTTGGAGCTGGCAGCAGCTCCTGCCTCGTGAGGATCTGCAGGTGTGTTACTGTCAACTGTACTGTCTTTTTGCACTGTATCGTCGATTGTAGTTGTCTTGTACTACTACCTGCGCTTCTGAACCCTGTGTTTGTGCTGGCCTCTCTGTACAGTCTTTTTTTATTGTCTTTCATTCGTCCTTGCTTTATTTTCGGCCTGTTTAGTCCTTTCCCCGTCACGTTAACATCCCTCAGTGTTGTGCCATTCTCGGCACGGGAGCGTAATATTTGCACGTATTTTATACAATTTAAAATAAATAGAATCCTGGGCAAGCAATTATATAGATGCCCGTATCGCTAGGGTCAAGGAATGGGGCAGGAGCGTGACCGCTTCCACCGTGACCGACCAGCCCCCGTCACCTTTGCCCCAGTTGACACGCGGTTCCACAGCCGTGCTGAGACAGGCGCGCACTCTGGTCACGGAACAGGCTGCCAGACCGGTGCTTCTCAACGCCTCTTATACCACAGCACGCTCAATTTAACGAGCCTGCTCCATGTTTGTGGCATACCGAACCAAAACAATCACTGCGGGCCCTGTCATCGAGCGGTGGATTGATCATGGCCAATTATGATGCCTGTTAGTCCAGATAATTCGAAGCAAGTTTAAGCCTTGTCATTTGTGCAACACAAATGGAGTTATCCTAACGTCTGCATTTTCAGCTTGTGGCATTAGGGGATTGTTCTGAAGTATTGGGAGTGAAGGGAATCTGTTGTGTACAAAATTCCGTAGCAACGCTTCAGATTTCTCCCCCTGCTTTTCGCTTGCAAGTTTCAGATTTACTGCAATACACCTGTCCTTGGACGGGCAAAAGGCGAGTTTTAAAGTTGCGCCTAGAGTCTCCACGACAAGCTCTCTCAAGGATGTTCAAACTAATTTACAGCTGGGTTTCAAACATTCAACGGCATATTTTATTTCCAAGCCCTTTACAAAAATACCAGTGAGAAAACATTGACCTTTATGAGCCCTAAATCTTTCTCTAAGCGGAATCTTTGCACAATATAATTTACCACCTTTTGTGATTGCCTTGGAAAATTCTGCAGCCGAAGCATGCGTTGGCCTTTGGCTCTATTCTTGACACTTCTGTAAACTGATACCAAACTGTATTCTTTTTAATTCAAACTTAGGTTATTTTAAAGAAATCACATTTTACTCACTTCCAACTTGTTCTCTCTAACTCTACGCCAATTGAGTCAAAACGAGCGGCATAGATTAGCTCCCGCACCTCCGATTAACACGGTTGGCTACGTACGGTGCAAACAAAGTTCAACATACTTACATATATACAAGTCTGTGGTGTTCAGAAGCACAAGCCATTTGCCCCAAGGCTTCCCAGTTCTCTGTCAATATTCATTGTATATTTTGCATTCTCCAAGAGGCAGAGACCTCTACTCGGTTTTCCAGAGTGCCATGGTCTTGACCTGCCCACACGTGACTCCACGGGAGCCTTGAGAACAAACTCGTGGGTACCCTCTTGCTTTTGGCACCAGTACCAGATGCCCGGGCGCCCAGACGCGTGACTCTGTGGGGGCCGGCCACTGTAACGCGGTGCAGAAGGCTGCGGGGATTGTGTGCGGGCACCAGTTCCCAGTCTTGTTCTTTGTCAAGGGAAGCGGCATGTGCTGCCCACTGTCTCCCCAGAGCAAGAGCGTGTACCAGTAGAAGTAGTGCCAAGCCATGACGATTCTAGATAGACTGCTTTCGGAGGAAAGTGAAGAACTTGAAGGAAACTCATGCAGAACAGGGGGGGGACATACAAACGCCACTCTCTCTCACACACTCACCATCTCACTCATACACACTCTGCAGAACAGTGAGATGGTGAGTATGTATGTGAGAGAGAGTGAGAGTGGAGTTTATAAGTCGTTCCCGTATTCTTCCAGTATCCCCCCATTACTAAAGAGACAGTAGGGGATGGGATTGCATAAACTCGCCCCGTTGTCTCAGCTGCCGCGCCGGGAGATGGAATCGCAAACACTCCAATGCAAGTTGGCACATGGATTCACCGTTCCACCCCCTACTAGACACTGACTGCGTGCTGCGTGCCGTGGCACCTGTGTGCAGGAGGAGGCGGCAACATGCGGGGCCGCAGCGTGCTGGAGCACTTGCTAGTGGCGCTCTTCGGCATGGGCTCCTGGGTGGCCGTCAACGCCCTGTGGGTGGAGCTGCCCGTAATGGTCAAGGTGCTCCCAGAAAGTACGTGGTGGTGGTGGTGGCGGTGCCACCTTCTTGCCCTTATTACCGCAGTGGTGGGTGACCGATCGCCCGTCCGCTTGCCGCCTCGACAGCTTCCCCACTCTTGTTTTTGAATCTCGGGGCGGTCACAGTTGCTGCACCATTGCTTTGAATCCGTTCCCTAATGAGTTAAAGCGCGCTTGTTCAAAACAATCCATTTAATTTAGTGGCATCAACGAGAGATTTAATTCTTCAAGCAAATGACCTTACAGAATATATCCACAAAGTTTTTGCAGTAGGCAGCGATGTTGCTGCTGTTTGGAATCCCAAATGAGTAATTTGTGGGTAATTCTTTAGCACTGGGATGTTTGGCCAATACTTATGAAAGGAAATAGGAGGACCCGGAGGAAACCCATGCAGAACAGGGGGAGAACATTCAAACTCCACACAGAGAGAGGCCCGAGTCAGGAATCGAACCCAGGACCTTCTTGCTGGGAGGCACGAGTGTTACTACTGCGAGAAGACGCAAAGCAGACGTCCCACTCAGACACTCAGCAAACGCATCCACTCTAGACGTTGGAGCAAAATACAGTAGGTGAAAACTTTAAAAGGCATAACAAATTAATCGGTATTTTGCTTGGTGTTGAATCAATGGCGCTGAAATAGGCATTCAAGAAATTTGTGTAGCCGTTGGAATCTGCAAAAAAACACTTGTATTTATTTATACGTGGAGGTACAGATGTGTGAAGGAGGCGTCTAGTCTACTGATTCACTGAGCAGTGCCGGTGTTTCCCCGCATGCGCCGTTTTGTTGCGGAGTTTAACCGCTGAGTGGCGGCGTCTCCGCTTGCTCCGCAGGCTGGGACCTCGCCTCCTACCTCACCGTCATGGTGGCCCTGGCCAACGTGGGCCCCATCGCCGTGACCATCACGCAGCGCTTCGCCCCGGGCCGGCTCAATGAGCGCGTCCTCATCCACGTCATCCAGGTCTCCATGGCAACGCCACCGGCCATGGCATGCACATCACCGTCGTCATCACCACCAGCATCCACGTGTCATCAGCCACATCACCATCATCCCCATCTTCATCATCCACGTCACTATCATCACCACCACCATCATCCACGTGTCATCATCCACATCACCATCATCACCATCTTCATCATCCACGTCACTATCATCACCACCACTATCATCCACGTCGAATCATCCACATCACAATCATCTACATGCATCATCATCCACATCCATCATCATCCACATCCATCATCATCCACGTCATCTAGGTGTCAGCCAGAGGACGAGCGACCAATTGCCTCCCATCCACCACCTGGGTGTGGATCTCAGGCTTCCACCCAGTGTTACTCATTCGCCCTCTCTCATGTGATCTTGTTGCATGCGCAGCACACCCTCTGGGATGGCTTCAAAGATATTTTTCTCAAGCCTCGTTTATCGCTCGATTTTTTATTCATTGGATGAGCAGGCACCATTCCTTGCCCAGATCCCTCGCCAGGCCTCCTTGGGCTGGGCTGGTCAGGCAGGAGGGAGGGCAGGGTTCAGGCCTCCCAGTCTGTACTTTATTATATATGGTATATTTATAACATAGATCCCCCTTGTAGCCTGTAACAGGCTGTTGAAGCAAGTGCTTTTAGCGAGCACCTATGAAGGTCGGCACGGTGTGGTGAGCGCCACGCTCGACTGCCTTTGTCTCCCCAGTGCTGATGCTCATACACTGCACCAGGTACTAATTTAAGGCAGAGTCAACCTAAGGGAAGTGTAACATAGGATCAGATACCCCTTGCCAATGCTGTAGCCATGGCCAGGAATCGATCTTGGATGGTTTGGTAAGACACAGCCGTGTTTGTGGCTAAAACACAGCAAGTTTACACTGCCAGCAGCATCAAAATGCGCTGTGCGGTGATGGCATCACCACCACTTTTTGGTAAATGACGGCCGTTGTTGTGTGTGTGTCCCCGTGTGTGTGTTTGGGGAGCGGTAGTGTAGCGGTTAGTGCGCTGCGCTACGAACCCGATGACCCGAGTTCGAGTCCCGCTCATGGCCAACACCAGTGACGATTATTTTAACCAGTCCTGGGCCTCCCCTAGGTCAACTCAGCCTCAAATGAGTACCTAGAGCGATGTATAAGCATCACCACTGGGGAGTCCAAGGTCGTTGGGTGTGGTACTGGCCATCCATGCCCTTCGTGTGGCGTACCGGCCTTCATTGGTGCTCGCTAACAGCACTTACCCCACCAGTCACTTATAGGCTACACATCGTGCGTACACATACACATACAGTGCGTACCTGTGTTGCAAAACAAAATCAGGAAGTGACAAAGTGTAAATCACGCAGTGCCGTGTGACTTGCGACAAGAGGGGCTGCGTGCGGGGTGTGGCGGTGGCACCGCGTGACGTGGCTGCTCTCCCCGCAGGTGTTGGCGGTGGTGGCATGTGCCTGCCTCGCCGTCACATGGTCCATGACGGCGCCTGTGTCGGGCCGCACGCACAGCGTCCCTTACCTGGTGCTGGCATTCGCGCTCTCGTTCGTGTGCTGCACCTCCAACGTCACCTTCCTCCCGCACATGTACCGCTTCTCCACGGAGCACGTCAAGACCTTCTTCGTGGGTCAGGGCCTGAGCGCGCTACTGCCCTCTGCGGCTGCGTTGGCGCAGGGCGTGGGCGCCGCCGAGTGCGTGAACATGACGGGGAACGCCTCGGCCCCGGCGTCACACGTTCGCTACCTGGAGGAGCGCTTTTCCGTGTCGGCCTTCTTCTCGGTCACGTGCACCCTGCTACTCGCCTCGGCCTGCGCCTTCGCTGCCCTCGTGCGGCTGCGGCCTGGGGCCCCCGCCGGTACCATCCCCTCACCTCCGCGTTCCCTCCCTCACCTCCTCCTTCCCTCCACCTCATTCCCTCACCTCTCCTTTGTTTCCTTACCTCGTAATTCCCTTCCTCACCTCATTCCCCTCCCTCACCTCTCCCTCCTTCCCTTCCTCACCTCCTCTGTCCCTCCCTCACCTATTGCATCTGATAGACACAATGCCTAGAATCATTGAAGACAAGAGATACCATGGGAATTTGTTTACTTATAAAAAAATCACGTGCATCGAGTCAATCTTGCTGGAAATTCTGATTGTGTAGGTGAACGCGGTGTTGTCTGCTTGCGGCCGGCATTCCCCTGTCTCGACTGGGGCACGAAACTTGGGTGACCGAGGCCTGCTTGAACATGGCAGCCTGCGTGTTGCGTGGCTCAGGTGAGGACCTGAACCCGGGGCAGAATAAGAACGCAATCCTGGACGATCGCGAGGAGGAGTCGCAGCTCAAGAGCGACGTGTTATACGTCGCGTCTCCCGACTCGCTCGCCTCCAACGGAGACGTGCTCGTCCTGCCCGACCACGACAGGGGCCAAGCGGTGCTCACCAAGCGGCAGGAGGAGGGGGAGGTGAGCCTCGCTGCCCGGCGACGTCGCCCTCGGAGTTCACACGTACAGGGCCGCCCAGCTTTTACGACGTGACCTCAGAAAGTTTGCTCAGAAGACCGGGGATTTAGTTACGGTTGAAAGAGAAGGGAGGAAGGTGATCGGTGTTGGGTAGTTTAGACGAAGATAAACCGGGAGTCACCCTGTCACTTACCCTGACCTCTTTTAGTGTGCCACAGAGTGCATCTTTCAAACTTGGACATTACCACTGAAATATTATGTTTATGATGTCTTGGTATGGTATTCTGAAGCTTGAGTATTAACATCATCGTAAGTAGCGTTAAAAAAGGGCGGAATGTATTGATTTATTTGGCCTCATGTGCGATGACGTGGTGTCGCCACTGCCGCGTGCATTCCCCGCAGAGCCTGTGCGTAAGCAGCGTGCTGTACCTACTGACGCTGCTGCTGCTGTCCAACGCGCTCTCCAATGGCGTGCTGCCCTCCGTGCAGACGTACGCCTGCCTCCCGTACGGTGGCAGCGTGTTCCACCTGAGCGCCGTGCTCAGCAGCATTGCCAACCCGCTCGCCTGCTTCCTCACCATGGGCCTGCCCTGCCGGTGAGGCCTCACGCCCAGGGGCAGCCCCCACCAGGATGCGGTAGTGGAACTCCAATTTGTGTAATGTATATATGTATAATTTAAACACAGTTGCTAAGCACGGGCACAAAGGGCCAGGAATTCAAGCGACTAGCAATAAACAATGTTAAAGTTGTAACAGTTAAGTGTTAAACACATATCTTCAATTGAGCAAGGTGATTATAAGAGTTTGAGAAACGAGATGACAATGGGAGGAGGGAATTCCAGAGTGGACCAGTGCGAGGGGAGAAGCAGAAAGAGAAGTGAGGTGACCTGCAGTGTGGTGAGCGAGTGGGTGAGTAGATGAGTTAGAGAGTGGGTGGGTGAGTGAGAGGATGGATGAATGAGTGTGTTATTGTGACAAGCAGTTAGTCGACAAGCCTAGTAGGCCATAAACACGGGTGGAGGAATCATTGAGTGAAATTCATGGAAGCTGTAACCGTGGTAGTGATGATAGAAGAGGAGGCGACTGACCACTAGTGAGTGAGTGAGCGAGTTGTGGATCATCAGTCACCTTGACTGCTGCTTCGCTCTTGAGTTCTTAAACCCATGGTCTGGACGGTGCTGTTTCAGTGCCCTGATAACATGCACAGTATCAGCTGCCACTGGCAGAGCAGGCACCTCCTGTCTGTACGTGGTAACATGGAACGAATGACCGGCGCCTGCAGGTCGAGCCCCGTGCTGGGCCTGCTGTTTTTGCTGGGCGTGCTGGTGGGCAGCTACATCATGACGCTGGCCGTGCTGAGCCCGTGCCCCCCGCTGCTGGGCAAGCCGAGCGGCAGCGTCCTAGTGGTGAGCGTTGACAGCGCCCCGCCGTGTGCCGCACTTCATACGCGCCGTCGCCGTGCGTCTGCGGGTAGCGTTACATTTTCGATATTCTGATAATTCCAGTCTGCACATTGCCTTGCATTGTATGCCTGTATTTTATCATCTAATCCTCATCATCACCATCATTTGCTTATCATGCCAATCATGATCGCTGCGTATTGGTGACACCGGAGAGAGTGATTCCCACTGAGCCGTGAACCTCGCGTGTCTGCCAGGTGTTGGCGTGGGTGCTCTTCGTGGGCCTCTTCTCGTACCTCAAGGTGATGATCGGCACGGTGCTGCACCAGCGCGGCCACGCGGCACTTCTGTGGTGCGGCGCCGCCATCCAGGCCGGCTCGGCGCTTGGCGCCCTTGCCGTGTTCCCCCTCGTCAACGTCTACCACCTCTTCACGCCCGGCGACCCCTGCTCCAGCTCCTGCCCCGCGTAGCCCCGCGAAGCCTCGGGTTGCCCCTCGCGACTCTGCGTGACCCCACGTGACCCTGTGCTGCCCGTGACACAGCCGCGAAGCTGTAGCGTGGGCGACCAGGCACGGCAGCGCCGGCCCGCCTCGCGGTGCTGCTGTTGTCTTGCCGCGAGGATTTTGGTTCAGAACACGGCCGTGGGTTCTCAGTGCGCCCTGCACCTCAGGGTGCGGCTGTGTCGCTGTAATTTTTTATGTAGTTGCTGAGCACAGGCCCAAAATGTTAAGCGGCCAGGAACAAACTGCCCTATGGGAATTGTGGTAGGCAAGAGTTGACATTTCTAGATTTAAAGCTTTCGTGACTGCAAGGATCCATACTCTTTGGTTCTATTCGGTAAAGTCACGTAAAAAAAAATTCACGACGTTTCGGCCACAACACAAGTGGCCTTCATCAGGTGAAGGGAGCAGACTGTCTAGAGGACAGCGCTGGAGTGAACACAGCCAAGCTCAGACCGCGACCTTTAAGCTGTGTGAGAGGAAGCAGAGCACCTTGACAAAGGAATTAGCATAAAAATTTGCATTTAATTGGCGGACTTAGCATGATGAACGATGTACAGGGGGGGAGCAAGTGCAGACCGGCGAGGAGGGGAGGGGGAGTTTACTTATTGATGGTGTGAAAAGGGAATTTGAGCAGCTGCGAAAGTTTGGGATACCACTACTTGAAAAAATATACTGTACCATTGAAAATTAGTTAAATGTTTGGTTTGATTCAGAACATCTTTCCAATGGTTGCTTAATATGAAAACATCCTCTCGGTTGAAATTGTGTCTGTTTGTAAATCTGAATTGCCTCGTGAACAAATCTCTGATAAAAACCCGTGGGTTTGCAAAGAACCTTGGTATCGGAGAAAATTATATCGTGATCACCCACAGTGGTCAGCTACGGCAGAAGAATTCGTTCTGCCGTGTTTCAAATCTGTTGTAACAGCTGATCACTGTTACAACACTGGGTGATCACGATATAATTTTCTCCGATACCAAGGTTCTTTGAAAACCCACGGGTTTTTATCAGAGATTTGTTCACGAGGCAATTCAGATTTACAAACACAGACAATTTCAACCGAGAGGATGGTTTCAAATTAAGCAACCATTGGAAAGATGTTCTGAATAAAACCAAACATTAAACTAATTTTCAATGGTACAGTATATTTTTTCAAGTAGTGGTATCCCAAAACTTCGCAGCTGCAGAAATTCCCTTTTCAGACCATCAATATGTAAACTACCCCCCCCCTCCCCCCCTCGCCGGTCTGCACTTGCTCCCCCCCTGTACATCATTCATCATGCTAAGTCCGCCAATTAAATGCTAATTTTATGCTAATTCCTTTGTCAAGGCGCTCTGCTTCCTCTCACAGCTTAAAGGTCGCGGTCTGAGCTTGGCTGTGTTCACTCCAGCGCTGTCCTCGAGACAGTCTACTCCCTTCACCTGATGAAGGCCACTTGTGTTGTGGCCGAAACGTCGTGAATTTTTTTTTACGTGACTTTACCGAATAGAACCAAAGAGTAAGAGTTGACATGTTTCTTAAATTTAGCAAGGCAGGAAGAGCTTAAGAATAGAGACAATGGGATGGAATTACAAAGCTGGGCAGTGTGTTATGGCCTGCCGTGTAGTGAGCGAGTAGGTGAGTCTGCGAATAGGTGGGTGAATGGATGAGTGGGTGAGTGTTTTTGTGAGCTGTAGTGTGTTGGTGGAACAGTGTGGATGAGACGAAACAGTCACTCATGGGTGGAGGAGTCAATGAGTGAAGTTCACGGGAACAGTAACCATGGTCGTGTAAAGGCTATCAGAGTGATAGGGAGGTAACAGACCACTGATAAGCGAGTGACCTGAGTGAATCCGAGTTCTGGATCATCAATCACCCTGACTGATTTACGTTGATTCCTATCAAGCGCTGCGAGGTAGAAACTGGGTCCTCCACTCCAGATGTGACAGCAGCAGGATTCCAACTTTGCCCATATTTGTGCTTTGTACAGTAGTAGCAGCCATACTGTATTTGTTCGGAGTTAAAGACGAAGGCCTTGGCACGAAGGAGAAAAGCAGCCATGGAATCGTGGCTAAGAGTGTGAGATGTTGTGGTTCGTGCCCGATGTGGATTGGGAGGGTTGCAACAGCATGGCTGTCAAAATGCTGGCCCGGAGGGGAGATCTGACAGGGGCTGTTGCAGGGACGATAGCTGCCCAATTTGAGACCACAGCTCAGATATGCGCTTGTTGTGTGTGGTAAGATGCTTTATAACTCACCACTGTTGATCTAATGGACCTACTGCCACCCGTCAAACTGAGACGTTATTTCAGAAAATGTTCTTCTAGTTTATTAACAACAGGTGCATTGTGACAAAACTGTTATTGCTTGATATTCAAAATTGTAATATTTGTTGTTCCAACTAGTAATTTATTTGTACAAACAACAACTAGGCCGGAAGCATGTTGTCAATGTGTGCTGCTGGTTTGCTCGCACGCAGCTGATGTTGGTAATCACGGACGGCTGCGCCGTGGCATGAGGAAGGTCGTCCCAACTGGCATTGTAAACGCAGTTTCTCTGTAAACCCTGTTCCCAACTTGAAGCATCTAGGCCAAAGTTCAGCCGGGTAACCTTCAATAGTAGCAGCAAGTCTGTTCCTTAAAAATACCCTTGAATTAAAACAATACGTAAAAATATATAAAACATTGTAAAAGCATGTATGTTAAAATGGCCCGTGAGATAGTATGCTTTTACTCTGAAGAGTTATGAAGAAACCAAGTGGACATTTGTATAAAATGCTGGTAGTTTATTTCATGTGCTTGAGGCAAAAGACTGCACGTTTAAGGCTCGATTCCACTCAACGGGATTGGAGACATCACTAAACATTGATCCTGACAATGCACCTCATCACTCATCCACAGCACACATTCGGTAAGAAGGAGGCACCAGTTAGAGATATGGTACAAAGTGTCACCTGAAACCTCCAACGATCCGTCAAATTGAAAAGCATTGCAGACCAAAAGCAGCCTTCAGAAAGCGGGTGACAGGATTTCGAGTCGTTGTGAAGCGGCTGAGCGCCAGTCACTGTTGGGGTCGTGGAGTGGCAGTTCGCTTCCTGTCACCACGCGTGATTCCTGCAGAGAATGCCATAAGTTGATAAGTGGGCTGTGGTGAACCTGTGTGTGACACCACTGGCAGGAGTAGGCCAGCATAATAACCATTTATTTTTTAATTCGGTGCACCCACAAAAAACTCCCACGTGCATGCGCAGTTGTGTCAGACCTCTCTCGCAAGACGGGTCGACAGATGTGGCTGGACGTCTCTGGAGAGCTAATACCCATATCAATGGACCGAGACCTGGGTTGCATCCCGGATTAAGGGAGAATGGTTCTCTTGTTCAAAGGGAGTTTGATCTTTGCATAAAAGTCACAGATGGTCACACAAAAGTTCACACCATGACATTAGCGTTGGCCTTTAATATTTGACCACTTCACCGGCACTTAATCAGATACCGCTTTACATTTCCCATTATAGTATTTATTTGCTTGTGATTTTGGTGATGTTTTTGGGAGTGTTCTGATGGAGCCGTGACACATGTACAGACATGAACATATGGTTCAACACTCGCTCCTAACCTCATTTAACGTGTTATGAGACCTCCAGTATTGTTATCAATGTTAATCGTCTGTTATTTATACACTGATGGATGAAAAAGCCTTACGTTGGCATTGTCACAGTTGTAATCACTCAACTCGTTATATTTGAAAGTATAATCTCTCGGTCTACTTAGAAGACAGGTGTCCTGCTGAGTGCCACAAATCTCGGTTTGTCTAAGCGCTTAGTGCCCAAGGTCACTCTTGCAAATGAGACTCTCCTGGTCTCATGGGTAAAGCCAGGGCCTGCTTGGTGTAGTTGTGTGGCAGGGAGATGGCATCACTGAGTGTTGCCCCCATGTATGTCTGAGTATTCCCCGGGCACTCTGATTTTCAAGATGTTGCCGTGCTGTAATGGGCAGCACATTGAACTTAATTAAATTATGTGAATGATGAGAAACCCCTGAAAGGAACACGGGCGGGGTGGTTGAGCGAGGTGCGTGCCGATGCGAGGTCACCAGCGCCCGACGTCTTCCTTCGCAAGGAGATCGTTACTTATTTCCAGATGATATTGTGCGTCGTGTCCTGTTTCCGGTGTATTTTGGCTTTGTATTAAGTGTGTCAGTGTAGATTGGCTGCTAGGAAATTGCAGCCCATTAGTTGATGGGAAGAGCCGTCGTCCCGAGCGAGTGAGTGACCTGATTGCCGTGCAGAAGGAACGGCGCTGCTCGTCGAGAGACGGCTGCTGGTTGCTGTGCAACCTGGTGGGGCAGGGCCTCTCCCTCCCTGCTGGGGAGCTGAGCTGGCATGTCCCAACGGGAGCTTTGAGATTCCACTCCCGTTGGCCGCGCAGCAATTGCCTTCTGCTTAACCTAGAATTCAATGGACCATGCACTTGAATATTTTAATATTCACCGCCTATTTGCCTTGTTTTTTTATGATGACGATTTGTATAGTTTTATTGTTTTTCCAAATAGTTGGAAAGGTTTGTATAGCGATATCAAAATGATCATTATAGAAATAATAAAATATTGTACAACGGACTCAGCAGTACTTGCGCCTGTTTATCTGCTGTATCCGTTCAGTATACGGAATAATTCCTGTATAGTAGCAGTACTCTACATTGCCGATGATCTCCAATTGACATGAAACAAGTATACAGATACTCTACCACAAATACACGTTCACAAAGCCAACCTCTAATGCCTGTGTGCGACTTTGATGCTTTTGACACCCAAGTGCTGTGCATGGGAATGCTCACCGCTGCAGTTCCATGATGAACAGTTTCGCGATTTGCAGGTTGATTTCACCTGATCGTCTATCGTGTCTTGCTGTACACTATGGATGATTTTCTAGTTATACAAAGACATCGGATCTCTTTTGGATTGTTGGATCACGCACGTTACGTAAGTATCGGTTTGTCGGTGTCGCCCACTGCCAATCGACTCAATTTTTTGGTTGGAAAGAGCACAGAGGTGATGTCAACTTAGCGACCTCAATTCTTGGTATTGGGTCATTCCAAAGCCAAATAAATTCGTATCGTCTGAACTTTCATATCGAGCCTTGATATTGGGATGAGTCCTAGAGACGGAGCGCATCCTGGTCCTGTGTGCACGCTGTCGATGTGAAGCTGCCTCGCTATAATCGCGCCAGGGGTGCGGTCGCGGTCGCACGTAATAGGGCTTGCGGGGTGCTCGGATCGTTAGGTTTTGCGTGCGAGCAGACGGCTGGGTTGTGGGCGCTGGTAAAATGATTAGTGTTGTGCGTGACCCATAGAGCAGTGTCCTTTGACCCTGAATAATAAGTGTTCATCACCCTGATTGGCACCACACAACAATAAGTTGTGCACATGACAAATACCCAGCAGCGTAGAGTTGACTTGCGGACTGATGTCCATGTCAATGCATGGAGACATCATGAAGGTTGAGTTTATTTGGGCAGTTTCCTCGGATAAATCAGCTTAAGTGCGGGAGTTGTTGACTCGGCAGGTCACCTATAAGCCGTTTAAAAAACCCCAGAATGTGAACTCGGAAGTTTTCTACAGCTCGACGACAGAGTAATCATTTGAAGTTTCAATGCAACTCTGGGATAAGTTAAGGCCAATGATATGCATGCTGTGGCGCATGAGTGCTGCCCCTAATATGAACATTCAGCTGAACAAGATTAGTGAATACTTCACATTCCCCAGTCAAATGACTGAGTTTGAAGAAGGGCTTCTGTGTGTGTTGGCTGTGTGTGCGCCTATGAGCTCGCATACAGCATGTCTATGCTAGGGGACGGCGTGCTTTTTGAATCCAATGATCCAGATGATATTTTTGGTCATGCATACCAAGAGGTAGCGATTTGGTATCTGAATCCTACGCAGGTCATTCCCAGGAGGCTGACTATCAAGTGCGGTGGTTCTATGCTACTCTTGCGCGTAATGCGAGAGGGCTTCAGGAGGAAGTTCGTCCACTTTTGTCTCCCCCATTGGTGATGGTGACAAACACGGAGTTAAAATTGTGCGTGGCCAAGTTTTAATTCATCAAAGTCATGAAATTATTTTATGACCACTACTCTCTCACTCTTATCTCGCACATAAAGTTTCCCCATATAGCCTGTAACAGCCTGTTCGGGTAAATGCTGTTAGCGAACACCTATACTGCGCGTGCACACACAGCTAACAATCTACACAGGAGGAAGTCCGTCCACTTTTGTCTCCCCCATTGGTGATGGTGACAAACACGGAGTTAAAATTGTGCGTGGCCAAGTTTTAATTCATCAAAGTCATGAAATTATTTTATGACCACTACTCTCTCACTCTTATCTCGCACATAAAGTTTCCCCATATAGCCTGTAACAGCCTGTTCGGGTAAAATGCTGTTAGCGAACACCTATACTGCGCAGTGCACACAGCTAACAATCTACACGCAGAGTGCGGCATATACTTTCAATTACCATAAACATTAACTAGAGGCAACATGTGCAACAAAGTGAGGTGTACCTTTAGTCAGACGATGGCTCCAGGGGCGTTCCCTTCGCCAGTCGCTTGCGAAAGTTCGCGTTTTTGCACCAACAGCGCACAATCGGCGCAGACAGCATGGCCACAGGATCACCGTGGCCGCAGCGAGGAGGCATGTGACCAGACCGGCCGAGTGCTGCAACTGAGAAGCGCTTTGTCCTTGGAGAGAACCAAGGCATTGTGATACCCTACTTTACAGCGAAGGGTGCCTTCCCTCCAGGAGGAGTGTCTTCAGGTCCTGGCCGAGAGCGGCTGCCTGCGACAGTCTCGTCTGTGACCCTGGGCCTCCCTTCATCCTCTTGTCTGCCTCTCAGGGTCTCATCTCGTGGTCAGGTTAGTCCACCTTTTTCTAACTTCACCTGCCTCTACTGCCACATTCATCCCCTTACCGAGTTCATCACTCGCCAAGTAAAAACATTTTCCCAAGTTTATCCATATGACCATTTCATCCAACTTTCTCTCCAAGCTCGTCGTAACCGTGCAAGTACCATGGCCTGGCGTGTGCATGCTCTCACGTGCGTCTTTGGCGTGGCATCGTGGGTCGCCATCAACGGGATGTGGGTGGAGCTGCCCGTCCTCGTGCCGCAGATCCCTGAAGGATGGTACCTGCCCTCCTACCTCACGGTGCTCATCCAGCTCGCCAACGTGGGCCCACTCGCCATCACGCTCGCGCACCGCTTCCGGCCGGGATGCATGGACGAGGTACCCATCATCTACGCAATTTTGGCATTAGGTGCCGTAGCTTGCCTCCTGTTGGCGTTCCTCTGGGACCGCACGACGGTGATCGCCGGCGCAGATCGGAGCACGGCGCTGCTGGCGCTCACCTTCTTCCTCAGCCTCGTCGACTGCACCAGCTCCGTCACCTTCCTGCCTTTCATGATGCGCCTGCAGCCGGGCTACATGACGTCCTACTATGTGGGCGAGGGCCTCAGCGGTCTGCTGCCGGGCCTCGTGGCCCTCGGGCAGGGCGCCGGCTTCTCGACCTGCGTCAACGTTTCCCTCGCCGACGCCAACGGAACGGCGGGCGACAACGGAACCTTGATTTACGAGGTGCAGACGGAGTACCAGGCACCCAACTTCTCTCCGCAGATCTTCTTCCTGATTTTGTGCGGCATGATGGCTGCCTCCATGGCCGCCTTCGTGATGCTCAACCACCTCCCGCTGGCTCGGCGCGAGTACTCACACGAGGGACTCCAGAACCTGGGCAGCCGAAGGCATGGCGAGGTAACCGCCGCAGGCCAAAGAGAACCATCTCAGCGGGAGTCCAATGGCGTGAGTCTGGAGCCAAGCGCGCTGGATACGACGCACACCTTCGACGTTCTTGAGTCGCCGTCCATCGCGGAGTACGTGGGGTAAGTCGATCGGTTCCTGTGGCAGATTCCGAGAGCTTTGATATAAATTACGAAAAACAGATTCAGCGAGATCTGATCATTGATTACAATTACACAAGAAGGCTGTTATGTGTCGCATCATCCAAATCGATCCATATTTTCTACCAAAAATGTGAATGCAATTCTGGATTGAACCGATGTAGCTCCCCTCGTGATGACCTTTGGTATAGAGCATCTGTGACCAGTGTGGCCGGTGGAATATGACTGATGTGAGTGCTGCCACATTGAAACCCAGCTTGGGGGCGCAAGGTGATTTACAAGTGCTCAAAACCTTCATTCGAGAATCCTAACCCTAAACAAGCATCCTTTAAGCGAGAGATTGCATATTCACAGGTTCCCACTTTATATAAAATTTCAGTCATTCATCCATAAATAGCATCACACGTTCTTGATCTTCAGAAGTTGTTTCCAAAGAGATTACTGTATAAAGATTTTATAGGTCAGCAAATCTGAGCTGAGAGTCAGTCTTGTTACATTTGCACTGTGACCTTTGTCATGTACTCTGGCAGAACCTTGCCCTGCAGTGAGTGCCATTTCTTTATACGAGTGGGTTGTCAAAAGTGGAGCCGGTTCAGAGCATATGTAAAGATTTGTATTTCATCATTACGCTTGTTTATCCAGCAAGGCCTCACTGCTTCTCAAAATTTTCAGGATTAAATACATTATTTGGTGATGCTGCTGTATTGGCAGTGGTGCGCAAACACAATTAGCAGTTATCTAAGCACCTACGATTAGCATGGTTGGCCACGTACGGTGTGAAAGAAGTTCAATGTGTACAATTAACAAACTTAGCACATTCGTAAATAACTGGCCTTAAAATAAAATATATAAGGCAACATTTTTGACAATGACCACTCTTTATATCATGTTTTTCATGTGCGATGAAGAGCCAATTCCCAAAACGTTGCCGAGTCTATGTTTCTTTTTAAGGCCACAGTGTTATTACCGAATGTGTTGTCTTTTACCGGAGGGTCCTGCCTAGTTTTCACAGTAGGGACAACATTGCTGCTGTGCGTAATCCCAATTGAATAAATTTCAGGTAATTTTTCAGCATTAGGATGTGTGGCCAATAACCATTTACATTGCATGTTAAGCCATGGGGAAAAAAAAAAACAGAAACTCCAGAGGAATTCCATGCAGAACAAGGGGAAAACATACAAACTCGGCACATAAAAGGACGAACCTAGTTGAGAATCGAACCTAGGAACTTCTTACTCTGAGGCACGAGTGCTCGCACTGCTCCAGCCTGTCACCTACCCTGTGATGGTAGATGAGCTCAATGTTGTTTGACTCTTTATAAGCACCAAGTCAACACTGCTGAAATGTGGCGTTGTAAATTGGAGAACTACCCTCGGTGAGGCACTGCTGCCATCTGTCAGAAATCGAGAATAGGGGGTCCGTTACTGGCAGATTCTATTATCCACACCTATCCACGAAAACAATTGTTATCCCCACGGTTATCGGTGAATAAATGTCAATAACAGGATACATTTTACACCATTTCCAGTTCACTCCCCTTACTCATTGAGCACACGGTGCAATGAGTTCGGGTCTTGCAGCCGGACACTTGTGTGTGATCTTTACCTGCAGCTAAACATGGATAATTGGATGACTTTAACTCCTTATCTGTGAAACACACGCATAATATGAGTAATTACCCGTGAATAAGTAGGTGTTTATCAGATCGATCGAAAATAGGGTTTTACAGATAAGTGGCCCGCGGAAAAGAGTCTGCCGATAGCATGAATGATAAGGAGTCGGGGGTACAGTTGTGTCCACTGAAACAGCCCACACGAGCACGAGCCGACCTCTCGGCCAGTCGAGTGAATGGCCGAGTGACGCTGTCAGGTTGTGCGTTGGCAGGACGGACGCGAGCTCCTGTCGCTCGCTCTCTCGTCTCGAGTTCGTCGCAATCTTCCTCATCCTGGCCTGGGCCAATGGGCTGACTAACGGGGTGCTGCCCTCCGTGCAGTCCTACTCGTGCCTGCCCTACGGCAACACGGCCTACCACCTGAGTGCCACGCTGGCCGCCCTGGCCAACCCCATCGCCTGCTTCGTCGCCATCTTCAAGCCCAGCCGGTCGGTCTTGTGTCAGCACCTTGGCACTCACTCCACATTCACCGCACCTCATATAATAAATAAATAACGGCTCAACGTTCTGTTTTGTGGGTGAATGGTGACGTTAGCGATGAATGTGTGGCTCCCATTGTGTGCAGGTCACAGCTGGTCCTGTCCATGCTGACCCTGCTGGGCTCTGTCTTTGGTGCTTACATCCTGGCCATGGCCATCATGAGTCCGTGTCCTCTGCTGCTCGGCACAGACGCGGGCACCATCCTCATAGTAAGGACCACTTACATTAACCGACTTGTCTCTCTGCTCCGCCGTCTCCCCCCTCACACTCGCCATCACGCGGACTGTCACCCACCCGAGATTACATATCACAGTCGGGGTCATTTTACATGGGTGGCTGAGGAACTTGTTCGTCATTTCATCTTCAAACTTCTCCTCCCAACCTGATCAGTGGGGTTCACACACGAGCGAATGGGCCAATGCACATGTTTGAGCCCACATGGCTGATTGGACACTTGTGTTCACGTGAAAAAAAACAAACCTAAGGTGAAATCTTCCCTGGAAATACAGAGCGCTCCCCGTAATTCCCCGCAGAGCACAAAACACAACATGATGAACACACAACCCCTGAGCTAAAATAAACGTGAAACTGTAGCCGGTGGTGACCAAACATTCCGATTCCGAAAGATTACCTGCAAGTGGCTGCGTTCGGGACCGTAGACGGCGGCAGCAGCTACGCCGCCCCCTGCTGCGGAACGTCGGCAGCTCCCTATGGAAACGAAAGAGCGTTGAGATTCGGCGACGCTTTTCCGAAGCAAAACCAGTGGCGAGTGTCACGATTCCTGACTCGCAACTGAACGACGTTACAGGACACGGAGCTGGCGAGAAGCAACTTCGTTATTGTCCCCTAGCCTAGCTGCCAACTGACGCCGTTTAGCAGCAAAAAAAGGTACAGCACAGTATAGTGAGGTAATGTTTGTACTGTTAAGGTAACATGCAACAATACATTGACGTGTAACAATGTAACGTGCACTAATGTAACGTGTACTAATGTAACGTGTAACAATGTAACCTGCACGAATGTAACGTGTAAAAATGTAACGTGCACTAATGTAACGTGCAACAATGTAACGTGCACTAATGTAACGTGTAACAATGTAACGTGCACTAATGTAACGTGTACCAATGTAACGTGCACTAATGTAACGTGTAACAATGTAACGTGTACTAATGTAACGTGTAACAATGTAACGTGCACTAATGTAACGTGCAACAATGTAACGTGTAACAATGTAACGTGCAACAATGTAACGTGAACAATGTAACGTGTAACAATGTAACGTGTAACAATGTAACGTGCGTTAGAGCGTTGCTCAGTCGAGAGACGCCACCCGGCAGGGGTTGAACTCGGGGCTCGGCATCTCGCGTGCTGCCCTCTCGCGTGCTGCCCTCTCGCCTCTCCCCTCCCTCCCCCTCAGGTGCTGGCCTGGGTGCTGTTCACGGGCACGCTCTCCTACGTCAAGGTCATGGTGGGGGTGGTGCTCCGCGACCAGGGACACTCGGCGCTGCTCTTCTGCGGCGCCGTGGAGCAGCTGGGCTCGGCCGTCGGAGCCCTGTCCATGTTCCCTCTCGTCAACGTCTACGGCGTCTTCACGGCTGGGGAGCCGTGCGGGGGGGCCCTGTGCATCGGGGCCTGACGCCTCGCTCACCTCCTCACCCACCCCTCACCTCCTCACTCACCCCTCACCTCCTCACTCACCCCTCACCTCCTCACCCATCTCGCACCTCCTCACCCACCTCGCACCTCCTCACCCACCTCGCACCTCCTCACCCACCCCGCACCTCCTCACCCACCCCTCACCTCCTCACCCACCCCTCACCTCCTCACCCACCTCGCACCTCCTCACCCACCCCTCACCTCCTCACCCACCTCGCACCTCCTCACCCACCCCTCACCTCCTCACACACCCCTCACCTCCTCACCCACCTCGCACCTCCTCACCCACCCCGCACCTCCTCACCACCCCTCACCTCCTCACTCACCCCTCACGTCCTCACTCACCTCCTCACCCACCCCTCACCTCCTCACCCACCCCTCACCGCCTCACCCACCTCCTCACCCACCCCTCACCTCCTCACCCACCCCTCACCTTCCTCACCCACCTCGCACCTCCTCACTCACCCCTCACCGCCTCACCCACCCCTCATCGCCTCACCCACCTCGCACCTCCTCACCCACTCCCTCACCTCCTCACCCACTCCCTCACCTCCTCACCCACTCCCTCACCTCCTCACCCACTCCCTCACCTCCTCACCCACTCCCTCACCTCCTCACCCACTCCCTCACCTCCTCACCCACTCCCTCACCTCCTCACTCACCTCCTCACCCACTCCCTCACCTCCTCACCCACCTCTCACCTCCTCACCCACCCCTCACCTCCTCACCCACCTCGCACCTCCTCACCCACCCCGCACCTCCTCACTCACCCCTCACGTCCTCACTCACCCCTCACCTCCTCACCCACCCCTCACCTCCTCACCCACTCCCTCACCTCCTCACCCACTCCCTCACCGCCTCACCCACTCCCTCACCGCCTCACCCACTCCCTCACCTCCTCACCCACCCCTCACCTCCTCACCCACCCCTCACCTCCTCACCCACCCCTCACCTCCTCACCCACCCCTCACCTCCTCACCCACCTCGCACCTCCTCACTCACCCCTCACCTCCTCACCCACCCCTCACCGCCTCACCCACCCCTCATCGCCTCACCCACCTCGCACCTCCTCACCCGCCCCTCACCTCCTCACCCACCCCTCACCTCCTCACCCACCCCTCACCTCCTCACCCACCTCGCACCTCCTCACTCACCCCTCACCTCCTCACCCACCCCTCACCTCCTCACCCACCCCTCACCTCCTCACCCACCCCTCACCTCCTCACCTCCTCACCCACCCCTCACCTCCTCACTCACCTCCTCACCCACCTCGCACCTCCTCACCCACCTCGCACCTCCTCACCCACCCCTCACCACCTCACTCACCTCCTCACCCACCTCACACGTCCTCACTCACCCCTCACCTCCTCACCCACCCCACACAACATGCACCCGGTGCCACTTCCTCGCCTATCACACAGACGACCAGACTTTAAACTTTATTTAAATGTTTTTTTTCACATTTGCAATGCGTGGAACATTCCGAAAATAAACTTGCACTGTGCTGTTGGGCGTTTACAGGTGGTTGCGCAATCTTATTCAGAGCTCATTGTTGGGATTGTGCAGGCTTGTGTAGGATCATGTAGGGTTGTGAAGGGGAATGTCCTACGAGGAGAGCCCCTTCCTCATCTTGCGTCCCTACCCGATATCTTCCGCCTCCCCTGTGACCTGGAGCTGTCGATGGTCACTGCAAGAGCATCCTCGATGTACCTGCTCTAATCTGTGCATTGTGCACCGTTGCACATGTCCTGTCGATGGCCCCAACCACTGGTACTGCAGTGGTCCGCACTGCTCACTCGTTCAAGGTCAAGATGAAAACCTTGCGCTACTCCATGAACTGGGGCTGACAACCAAAATAACAAGATCAGCCATTTTTTTTCGAATTCGGTAAAAAAAATAACCAAAATATTTCAGGAGCCGCAATGCATTTGAATACGAAAGGGTCCTTAACGTCATGAAGCAGTCCTTAAAGGAGCCGCAGGTTGCCAACCCCTGTCCATGAATTACTACTTCCTCCATCTTCGTCTGTCCCATCCATCCTGCATTGCAGCCTTCCCTGTCACGTATGTTGGATGGAGACGGGGAGAAGGGCAGGCACCCAGTGGCTGGTAGCTGACGTGAAATTATAAAGCAGATGTTTTTTTGCATTGGGATTTTTGACCAATCCTAGTTTTTTAAGCTATGGGAAGAAACCAAACACAGATGAAATCCATTAACAGAAAATAAAAACTCCACACAGAAAGGTGCCCAAGTCAGGAATCGAACCCCAGACCCTTTTGTTGTGAGACGAGAATTATCACTGTGCTACCCTCAGATGAAATTTAGATTAAGACGCCATGTGAGAAAGCATGACATGTTTATTGACATTAAATGAAATGTTAACCCATTTTTTACAACCACACGGCGTCTTGGTGTAGATTCCTGTCTGGCAAAAATGCCTTGCAGTTACCACATTGAATGGTTACCAGAATCTGCAAATGAGAAACTCCAACAATAGACAGATTAATGCAGGTTGGAAACAAATGAATGTAACAAGCACAGGTGTGCAGTATTGCATGTGTCGTGACGTTAAGGGTGTCACCATGGTGGTAGCACCAGGCACTGTCATAAGAGTGCTCCTGTGCATCTGGAACCTCTCTCTGGGGCCAGAGTGAGTACTGTATGCAAACGGGCCCAAGGGGGCATAGTCCTGTTGACGGCTTGATAGAGGGCAAGTCAGGATATGGTAATCTGGGTGAACCCGAGAGGGCACGTGAACAGGACAGGGGAGTGAGGGGGGCACGAGGGGGCTTGAGGGACACGTGACGTTCCGTCGAGATCCTTCGGGAAAGGTCTTGACGGGGGCGTGGCCGAAGGCGGAGCGAGGCCATGCTCAGGAGAGCGTTCGTGACTCGTCAGTGGAATCCTGGGGTTCCGCGTCTCGTCGTCATCTCCAGGTCTTCGGTCGTTGCTCGGCATTGTGGGTCAGACGCTGACTGACCCGTTCGTGCAGTTAATCCGCTACTCACATAGTGAACCTTATCACTTTAAGATACTGAACCAGTGTACGTTAATGTACTTAGCCCTGTTGGGGGTGTTGAAATAAACGTGTTGCCTCCAACTCCAGTGTGTGCCTCCGTACAACAGACTACACATGTACACAAGCTCTCAGCCTTATCCAGACCACTAGCTCAGAATAACTTAAAAAATGTGTGGCTATTTGGTCATTTAGAACGACCGACCCAGAGAGAAAATGTGGCCCATCCCAACAACAGGCAACAGCAGTGAAACGGACACAACTGTAGATCAGCTTCACCTTCACGAGGAATCTTCAGTACAGAAATATTAATGTTCACCACTGCCATCTACCTCTGGGAGGTTACTGGGAAGTGGGTATGCATAGATGTCGTAGGAGCACATCAGAACTAAAGACAATGAGGCTGTTTTCACTGTTTGACTGGGAATGTAAATAACAGTGGTGAATGCACTGTCAAATGAGCCATCTTGCACTGGTGAACTTCTGTTCGTCGTTTCAGCAGTGTATTATCTGCCCAAATGTGGTGTCATTTGTCCAAGGAAACATTTGTGTGCTGGCATTAGCACCCATATTCCAAATTTTTAAAGGTAAAAAGGCATTTAATCATTGCTACATGAACAACAATTGGACTAAAATGTTTCTTATTGTAGTATTCTAGTAGGTGTTCATCAGGTGGAGAGACGTTCAACGCAACCATTAACTCGTCACGCCACTACCGTAGCGTATCACGTGTCTCCAGTGGATGACCTATGTACACCATTTATGATACAGCCTGTCGATAGGAAGTATAAGAAACGCTTATCACACGTGACATTTTAACACCCTTTTAAAGTGGGTAAGCAATTATTTATTTAAATGTTATCCATTGAAACCCACTGTAGCATTACTTCAAAGGGATAAAGTAGTTTATTTAAATTTTTATTCCACTTAATTATCCAGTAAAGCCTCAACGCGACTCGAGACTATTTTCAGGTGGGTCCTGCTAAGTTTTCTCAGTAGGGGGCGATGGTGCTCCGACTGTGTGTCATCCCAATAGGGACCATCTATTTGGAGCGTACGTATGGAGGGGGGAGGGGGGTTAACCCAAATTCGTACGCTTGCGTATTGGGGGTCTACTGACAATGTAAGTACGCATAGGAAACGGAGGGGGGGGGGTGGTGAAGCCTCGTCAATCATTTGTCTACATTGGCTTTCAAATGAGTTAGATAGTCCAGCAGTGGACTATCTGTTTGCTTAACACACATTAATATTATTAATCCTTGATCGTTTCTGCGCGAATTAAATATCAGCCGTTCTATATTATTCGGGGGGGGGGGTGCATCAGGCGAACGTACGCAAGTGGGGGGGGGGGGGGGTGTAAAAAGCACGCGTGTGTACAGGGACGGGGGGAGGGGTCAAGTTTTGATAGATTTTTGCGTACGTACTAGATGGATGGCCCTATGAGTAATTTGCAGGTCACTTTACAGCAATGCAACATTTCAGAACAATGGAAGATGGTCAGTTCAATAACTTGACATTGAAAAACAATGTGGGAGGTGTAGGTTAGGAACGCAGGTGTTGTCTAAGACCAGAGGACGGATCGTGGCATCCGAGCCGGCCCGAGAAGGACCCACGGCTGGCTGGGATGAAAGATGACATCCAGAACGCCAAGGTCTCGCATAACCTGGTGTCCCTTGAGAACCTTCACTGGCACAATCAGCGGGTTCTGCAGCAAGTCACTGGACAGAATAAAACACGGTTACATTAGCGGAAAGCAATAACATGATAAATATAATTAATGAGCACACTTGATATTCGTGCCATTAATATAGGGCAAGGCAATAACGAAGGTACAAAGTATTCACAGACGCATTCTTCACAGCTCGGGGGGGGGGGGGGTGATGTCGTTGTGTACGCCAAATGAGAAATTTGCAGGAATTTTTTTTAAATCTAAGTTTGGACCATGATGTTGACACACAATGGCCTACTCTTTCCGAATTACATCACGGAATCTTCAATGTCCACTGTTAAGCAGACGGCATGAATTTATGATGAATACACATTG